TTATCGAATTACATTGAAATTTTTGAATCTTTGGGGTTGATTAAATTTGGGTTTTGAATTTCGTTTCAATAGTAATTAACTCTGATTCTGTTCTTGTATTTTACAGAGACAGTGTATCACTCCAATAGTGTGCTGAGCACCTTGAGCTCCAGTTGGACTTCAAAACCGCCGCTGGCGGTGAAGTACCGGCTCGATGCCGGTTCGCTGGTCGACACCGGCGGTTCGAAGAGCCTCTGCTCCACTTTCGAACGCCTTTTGGCTTGGGAGAAGAAGCTCTACGAGGAAGTCAAGGTACAATTTTTTTACAAATAAAAACTTCGAACAAATTGTAATTTTTATTATTTTATTTGGTTTTTTTCATGAAAAATAATTATTTTTGTAGTTAAAAATCTGGTTTTTTTTGTTTTTTGTTTTTTGGGAAAAGATGTTAAATAAATCTAGTTAGGCTTTTAAGTTTAGGACAAAAAAGGGTACCCATCAGTGACAGTGTTGTGTTGATGCTCTGATGATCCACCGCAGTTTTTGACTATAACGTCAAAAGCGCGAAATGACGAAACTGCCCATGGTCGGTGCTGTTCACAAAATAAACTGGCCTTTTTCCCGGTGCATCTTTTTGTAGTTGTGATTTGGATGGTTGTCTTTGCCTCCAATGGTGGCATCGATCGCTGTAATGAAGGCCTTTTTCAATGCTGGTCAAAATGACTCATATACCCTTGACGGCCTGTGAAATTGAACCGACCTTATCTTTGTAGTAGGCTCCTAGACTTTCTATGGTAAAGTAGATGCATTTTGTAGAACCTAGAGGCAAAATCTACTCCATTATTATTGGTTGGAAAATTTTGACATCTTAACAGATAAGGCTTCATATTCTTAGGAATGTCTGTATATAATATTTTCATTGCCTTTGCAATCTCATAAATTTTACTCTTTCTTTTTTGCTTTTTGCCTCTTTCCACCCTCAGCATAAATGCCAAAGATAAAAACACTTTTTGCTAGAAAAAGGGTTTTCTTGGGAGAAAATATGCATCCTCTGTCATTCTCTTGTTCAAAATTTATTGAACTTTTGTTTATATGGATGTACTTTTTCTTGTTGGTACATTTAAATTTGGTGCACTTTTAACTATTCATGCCTACTGTGGAAACATTTGAATACATCAATAGAAGGGAACAATGTGTCCTAGTTGTGCTACTGTGGAAACATAGTAATTTCTAGAGTGGCATCAATGATTGGCTTGAGGGTCATTTGCCCAATTTTGGGTGGATTGAGAAAATAAGTTTCTGCTGTTGTATTTATGTGGAGACCATATGGTTTCAAATTTGGCAAGTGCTGATGCAGGCAACAAATTGTTATGAATTTTAGGCTAGAGAAGGTGTCAAGATTGAGCATGAGAAGAAGTTGTCTGCGCTGCAACATCAGGAGTACAAGGGGGAGGACGAAGCCAAGGTAGACAAGACCAAGGCTTCGATAAAGAGGCTGCAATCACTAATTATTGTCACATCTCAGGCCGTCTCAACGACCTCCACCGCCATCATTGATCTTAGAGACTCTGATCTTGTGCCTCAGCTTGTTGAACTGTGCCATGGGTAATTCTCATCTCTTTTGATTAGTTACTGTAGAAAAGATGATAGTAAGATTATTTATTCTTCTGCACAAACCATGACTCATAATGGCTTGTGCACAAATCAGCTTTGGCATAAAAATACAGATTGAACATGACATATCAACAACACTTCTTAGTTGGTGTAGACATATATCTGAGATATTGGGTTGGTGTACTTAATTTAGGATATTAGATATTCTCCCACGTGAAAAGTGTGACTGTAGATCGCTGGCCTTTTGACTTGGTAGTTGAAAGCATTATGAGTCACCGCTCTGCTATATGCCACTTGCTTCTTCCCCTCTGGAACTGCATGGGCCTTGTTTTGTTGTCCTGGACTGTCACCTCTTAAAACTAGATGTGGCCCCAAAACTTCGTCTCCGGTGGTTATGTTTGCTCATATCTGCAGACCTTTTTTATAACAGTTATTGTAGGTGGAGTTAGGTAGATTGGACTTAACTATGATACGATCATATGACCCACCACTGTATGTTTCCGGATCCATTTGTAGCTGTGATTATTAACTAAGTCAAGAAAATTATTATTTTTTTGAATCTTTAATTGCAAATTAATTGGGGTCATTATGATAAATCGACAATGTAAGCATCATCATGTTTGTGGGATCAGTCTTGAGTGGCATAGTTCTGGTCAGAAAATAATGATCTATTTGTGTTAGTATCTTGCTAAGGTAAATTACCAAAAGGTCCAACACATATTTGCTTTTCTGGCTGAGTGGACATGCTTGTCTCTGTGCAATTTCAGGTTTTGTTTTAAAGCTTACAGGCTAAAATGAGTGAATGAGATGGGGGTAGGTAAACTTTTATTTAGGTGTTTTACAAAAGCTCAAACCTGTATGTAGATTTTTCTTTGTAGTAATGATATTGATTGGAAAGTGGGAGGGGCATGCAGTCTTGGTAAAAAAGTATACAAATGTGGACAAGCTAGGGTACACTTGAGTATTATCTTCCGTCAGATAAACTTTTGATGGGAGTATTGGCACCATTTTGGGGGTAAATTGTCGCCATCAGATAGATGGGACTGTAGAATAAGTAGTTGAATTCTTCCAATGACCCTGTTTTGTCAAAATAATGGCTAGATCCTATAATCATGTGAGTGAGGGTTATCTTAACCGTGACCTAATTCAAAATGTCTTACTTATACTGAATGCAGGTTCATGTACATGTGGAGATCAATGCACCAGTACCATGAAGTCCAAAACGACATTGTACAACAGGTTAGGGGACTTGTGAACCGGTCAGCCAAGGGTGACTCAACCTCGGAACTGCACCGACAGGCAACTCGTGACCTTGAATCTGCTGTCTCTGCCTGGCACTCCAGTTTCTGCCGCTTAATAAAGTTCAAACGGGACTTTATCCGGTCTGTTCATGGTTGGTTCAAGCTCACCCTTCAACCCGTAAACAATGACATGACATTCAATGTGCACAGCGAATCTTCTGATGTATATTCCTTCTGTGATGAGTGGAAGCTTGCACTTGAGCGTGTCCCTGACACAGTGGCTTCTGAGGCTATCAAGAGCTTTATCAATGTTGTCCATGTAATCTCTATAAAACAGAGTGAGGAGCTCAAGATAAAAAAACGCACTGAAACTGCATCGAAGGAGCTTGAGAAGAAGGCTTCTTCTCTCCGGAACATTGAAAAGAAGTTCTACCACTCCTACTCCATGGTTGGTATAGGGCTTCCTGACTCGGGGCCTGAAAACAGGCAGGTTTTGGATGCTCGAGACCCGCTTGCTGAGAAGAAATCTGAACTTACAACCTGCCAGAGGCGGGTCGAAGATGAGATGATGAGGCACTCAAAGGCAGTTGAGGTGACAAGAGCCATGACACTGAACAATCTTCAAACAGGCTTACCGGGGGTTTTTTCAGGCGCTGACCAGTTTTTCTGGCTTATTTACAGAGGCACTTGAGACAGTTTGTACTCGTTCGTACGCTATCAAATAGATGGATACGTAATTTTGGTGTCTGTTTTTGTGGTAAGTTGGAATTTATTAGAGCTGGGATTTTTTGGCAGTGGGCTCAGATTGTTGGTAGTATTCTTTCGGGGGGTTACAACATGTAAATATATGGAATTTTGTGATTTTGCAATCCTTTGTTTTTTTTTGGAGGAAGGAAAATGCCTGTACAGGAAAATGCTTAGATTGTTGTAACCCGAGCTTCGCTGTTTTCAGCATACCAATAAATATACATGCTTAGCCTATTTTGTCTTCCTTTCGTATAGCTCGCCATTACCCTTTTTTGAGTAACATACAATTTAAGAAACAACCATGACATGGAGTAATTTTCCAGTGTGACGATGTGGTGTTACAAATATACTCGTATTGTAATCCATGCATTTACTCATTATAACTATACTTTAATCTATGATATAACACTACGTGATGGTGTAAGCATTCAAAACGCTTCTCCATGGCATGAATACATTTTCATAAGTTCTACCTAGAAACGAATCAGGCATTAGTTATAAATTAAAAAATAATAATAAGATGAGATTCAGAAGGCAATTTGGAGTCCGTTGCCAAATTATTATATGTCGGCTAAGCCGGCTGCAAATTAGGATCTGCACTGATGTTGGGGTTATTTTGTGATATGGGCCTTCAAATGTTCAACCTAGTTCTTTGAGGATTTGCTGATGATGGAGATCGCCAAGGAGTAGGATTACATTGCATGTGCATGCCCTGCCTTAATCTTTGTCTATTTTTCCATTATTTCCTTTCATTTCTGTACTCAAAGATAAGTTTTTTTTTTCTTTTTTATGAAAAGATATTGATAAATAAGGGATTACATATCATCTTCAACAAAAACATCAGAGATAGACTTAATGTTTACAGAAAATTTGAACTCACAAGATAAGTACCCGGCCCTTTTTTCTCTCTCTCTTTTGCCCTATCCTAACCCTTTTTTTTTCATTTTAAATCGTTGGATCCATCTCCTTTTTTTTTCAATCAATGGCTGATAAACATTATTCAAGCACTAATACAAAACCAGGTAGCTATTGGCAAGCATTTATAATTTCCCTAATTAACGTGGTTAAATGGGCAGAAGATTATGAACTTAAAACTTAAGCAACACGCTAAGTTTCCAAATACCAATCTCATTTTTCGATTGGACTGATTGGAACCGCCACCACTATCCCTTTCACTATAAATAAGTAGCCAATAACATCTATTATTCGTACGCTCACTTAATTCTATTGCCTTTTGCCTTCCTTCTCTTCCAAGTAAGTTTAACTCTCTCTTGCCCTACTAGCTTCTAATTAGAAACCCTCGTTCCCTACTAGTTTCTAATTAGAAACCCTCGTTCCCAACTTGCTTCTAGTTAGAAACCCTAGCTTCTAATTGGAAACCTGCCTTCTTCTTCACGCAGTCTAAAGATCATCATCACCATGAGCCCTGCTGCAAGTCTTGTCCAGCAGAAAATCAGGCTGTTCGTCAAAAAATTAGGCAAAGGTTTCCATTCCAAGAAAGCATACAAAAAGTTGGAGCATGCCTCTGAGAGCTCCAAGAATAAGCACAAGGATGGAGATCAAGTTCAAGTTCCAGAAGGTTATGTGGCTGTGTACGTGGGCGAAGAGCTAAGAAAGTATAAAGTTCCTTTGAAGTGTCTCTCTTGTCCAGCTTTCCAAGAACTGATCATCGAGTCGCTGCCGGATGTGTTGGATGTCAAGATTGAAGGGCCTATTATGCTTTCATCATGCCCAACCGATCGCTTGCATGTGTTGATTAGATTGCATGCATGGGATATTGCATGCATGGAAGTTTAGTTCTTATTGTTTCATGTGGATTGAAGTTTTAACTTCCCGGACATACGTTTGGTTTGAGAATTGTAAATCTCATTATTTTTCAATGGATGGTTGTTTTTCTTCTTTGTTGATACACAACCTTTTGTACGCACTTTTTCTTCTTTTTTCAGACACCTCTTTTTTTATTTTAATTTATAGTGCAATTTTAATTTATACATGTTCCTCACTATCTTGTAAAATAACCTGTTTGCATAGCAACCCTAACAAATACTTTTTTTGTCTTTTGAACTTTAAACGAAGGCAATTAGGATCTAGACTAGTAACCCTAACAAATACATAGTAAAGGCCATCCATTACAAGGAATCTCATGTTCAACCTAGTTGAGGATTTGTTGACGATGGAGATTGCCAAGGATTATGATTTACAAAAAAATTGTAAGCTATTGTTTCTTGACCAAAACAAACTATTATGTTTTTTTTTTCAAAAGAAACGATGATATATTGATAAAATAAGGGATTACATCTGATCTTCAACAAAAAATCAGAGATGACTTCTTGTTTACAAAAAATTGGAACTCATAAGATAAGTCCAGCCCTCTCTCTCTCTCTCTCTCTCTCTCCCTATTCTACCCTATTTTTCAGTTTAAATCGTTGGATACATCTCCTTTTTTTCAATCGAAGGCTGATAATGAAAATAATTTAATATTTTATTAGATGAGAAAGAAAATAACGTCAATTGAACTCAATAATGAAAATAACATGAGAAACCCAAATTCTAGTTGTTATACTAGTATCAGAAAAAACAAAAGTTTGCATACATGGACTTAGTCAAGTTGGCTAGAGCAGATATGCTCCTCACTCGGCACTCGAGTTCGAATATCTCTTCTCGTAATTTATATTAGATTAAAGTACAATATCACTTTTATAAAATAAATAAAAAAACATAAAAGTAAATTTTGGGTATACAAAATCATGTTTTTATTGATGTTGGGTTTATTTTGTCATATGAGCCTTCGCATGTTCAACCAAGGAGTAGGATTACATTGCATGTGCATGGTCTGCTTTAATCTTTTTCTATATTTTCATTCTTTCCTTTCGTCTCTGTACTTAAGATAAGTTTTTTTTGGAAAAGATATTAATAAATAAGGGATTACATCTCATCTTCAAACTCATAAGATAAGTCCGACCCTTTTTTCTCTCTCTTTTTCCCTATCGTAACCCTTTTTTTCATTATCGTTGGATCCATCTCCTTTTTCTTTTCTTTTTTTCAATCAACGGCTGATAAACATTATTCAAGCACTAACATTTCTAATTTCCCTAATTTACCTGGTTAAGTGGGCATAAGATTATAAACTTGAAACTTAAGCAACACGCAAGTTTCCAATACCAATCTCATTTCTCGACTGGACTATTGGAACCGCCTCCACTCTCACTTTCACTATAAATAAGTAGCCAGTAACATCTATTATTCTTACACTCACTTAATTCTATTGCCCTTTGCCTTCCTTCTCTTCCAAGTAATTTGAACTCTCTCTTGCCCTACTAGCTAGCTTCTAATTAGAAACCCTAGTTACCTAATAGCTTCTATTTAGAAACCCTAGTTACCTACTAGCTTCTATTTAGAAACCCTCCTCTCCTTCTTCACGCAGTCTAGGAGATCATCATCACCATGAGCCCTGCTGCAAGTCTTGTCCAGCAGAAAATCAGGCTGTTTGTCAAGAAATTCAGCAAAGGTTTCCATTCCAAGAAAGCATACACAAAGTTGGAGCATGGAGATATTCAAGTAGCTCCAAAAGGGTATGTGTTTTTGTATGTGGGGGAAGAGCGAAAGCGGTATACAGTTTCTTTGAAGTGTCTCTCTTGTCCAGCTTTCGAAGAAGCGATGGTCGAGTCGCAGCCGGATGTGTTCGATGTCAAGATTGAAGGGCCTATTGAGCTTTTATCATGTACAACCGAGGACTTTCATAAGCTGATGTCGAAGATCAAGGAGGGTCATTAGATTGCATGCATGCGGCATGGACTGCTTTGTTGTTTATTATTTGTTCACTCTTTAAGATCCTTTCATTTCTTGTGATCATATGCATTGAAGTTTTTAACATTCGGGAAGTCCATGAGAATTGTAAATCTTATTATTTTTCAAATCGATGGTTGTTTTGCTTCTTTGTTGATACACAACCTTTTGTACACACTTTTTCTTCTTTTTTCATACACCTCTTTATTTTTTTTTTTCCAGAATGATTTCACTAGATAGGAATTCATTGTGTTATTTGTTTCTGCTTGCTTGTACAATCGAGTTGTTTGATGAGCTTTTCTGATGATGAAGATCGACCGCCAAGGATTATAATTAATTTAGATAACAATGTTCAATTCTCTGTTCTTAATTATTATTACTTAATGACAATGTTCAATTCTCTGTTCTGAATTGTTTTTTTCTTGATAGACAACCTTGTGAATTATATTAAAAATGAAAAGTAGCTGACTTTGAATCCAAGTCCAGACATGAGGCTCCTTTAAGGGATAACGAGAGAGTGTGGCTTACCTTGTTGTGTTAGAACGCAGATAGAAGATGAGAGAGAACACAAATAATAGTTACCTTGTAGTGGTAAAATTCACGTTTTTAAAAATGCAAACATATAATACTTGTATTGAATATGTACGTATTACATATTTAATACACATATTTTTTTTCAAAAATTTTAATAATACAAACAATTATGCACATAATTATCACATATTATTGAATACAAATAATATATATTAAATATATATATATATTATATAGTGGCTGAACTTTTAAGTTGTAATTTGCTAAATTTTTGCCAAATAAAACACGTACACGTATACTAAATTAATGTCTATAAAGTATAAACTAATAAAACTAGGAGGGTCCTTTTTTAATAATTTTTTTTATGCCAACATTTTGACAAATAAAACATGTATGTATTTTATTCGTATAGCCGCGTGGTTATACCAAATTAATATCTATAAAGTATAAACTAATGTCACTAGGAGGGTCCCTTTTTCATATCTTTTTTAATTAAATAGTATAGCTGAGAGGCTATAGTACAGTTTTTTTTATAGAAAAAAAAGTGTAGTCAAGTATAGTCGCGCTCGCGTGGCCATACTTGGTTTTTTCCCTTTAAAAAAAAAAGAAGAAATAGTATAGCCGCGCGGCGTTACTTAGCTTTTTAAAAAAAATTAAATAAATAGCATCGCCATTCGGCTATACCAGGTTTTTAATTTTTTTTAAAGAAATAGTATAGCCAGGCGGCTATACTCGGTTTTAAATATTTTTAAAAGAATTCGTATAGCCGTGCGGCCATACTTGGATTTTTCAAGAAAGAAATAGTATAGCCGCCCGGCGATACGCGGTTTTTTCTACTTTTTTATAAAAGAAATAGTGCAGCCGTTCGGCTATATTCGGTTTTTTTGGGAAAAACTAATATACCCGCGTACAAATTTAATGTTAACGAAATAGTATAGCCGCGCGGCTATACTCGGTTTTTTGCAAGGTTTTAAAAAAAAGAAATACTATAGCCGCGCTTCTGTACACAGTTCTTTTCTACAAATTGATATCTTCATCTATATATTTGATTATAGTTACATGATTAATTGATTTGATAATAGTTACAGGACTAATTGATTCTCAATTACTTATTATTATTATTATTATTATTATTTTATGTATTTGAAGGTAACCCTAAGAATGAACGATCTAGATCATGAAAACAATTGTGAAATAGGCCCAAACTAGTGGTTTCTTTCGTATGAAATTTTGGTGATCTTATATACCTATGGGTATAAGTTTGAAAATTTTCCTCTAAGAAATTTAGTGTGTAGGTTGTTAAGTTGTATATCATGTCTGTTAAATAACATAAATATAAATAAATTAAAAATAAAAACTTATTTATTATTTTTATCTTTTTTTTTTCTTCTTTTTTTTTTTTTTTTTTTTTTTTTTTTTCCTTTTCCTTTTAAATGATATAACTAGATAGGAATTCACTGTAATCGCTGACGGACCTACAGAGGCGGTGCAACTATACCTCCCCTCGCTGGAAAACACTGTAGAGGTGCGCACTTTGCCCCTCTGGTTTGCCCACCAACTGTTTGTGTTTTTGCATGAGTGAAACTCCTTTCTATTTGATGAGCTGCTATGTGTTTGTTTCGTTTTGGGCCAGGCCCCCAAAAAAACAAAAAGAAAAGAAAAAAAAAGAAAACGGCACTAGGCCTTACCCAATATAGAATCAGTTAGTATATTATATATAAACCTTATTAATAAAGAGCGGAGAGGAGCAATTCAATTCAATTCAAAACTATAAGCTCCGTTTGTTGAAGCTTCTCTTGTGGCAATCAGATTCAGACCCAATCCTTTTGCAAGGTTTGGGTTTTTTAGGCTTATGTTGTTGTTCTCTTCTATTTTTTGGGTACCTATTTTAGTAAGAAAATAGGTGAATTATTTATATATAACAAAAATAGGTACAACACAAATACATAGCTTGGATAAATGAATTTTTGTGTACTATGTAGAGAAAATAGGTACATTATTTCCATACAAAAATAGGTACTTATTTACATACAAAAATAGGTATGTGTTACTTTGTTATAGAAAATTTTGTACACTTTTTTTTAATTATAAATTAAAACATTTTTAACTACAAATTTTGCACACTTTTTTGCTTACAAATTTACTTATATATCTTGTATATACAAGTAGATAAATTATTTTCACAATATACCTATAAATCTGTTGGCTTTAATATACCTACAATATACCCATAATAAGTAAATTACAAGTTGTATTATTGCATAATAGGAATTATTAGGTAAATTATATCCAAAATTAGTTTATAAAATTTGGGCGTATTATTTGGAATAATAAGTAAATTTATACTAGGTACATTATTTTTCGTAAAAGAAGTAGTAGGTACGTTATTTTTTCAACATAAAATTGTATGTATGCTATTGTATTTATAAAATAATAATATAATAGATAATTAATCATGTATACTCATAAATAAAGAAATAAATGATTTTTTATTAAATAAAACATATGTATTTTTTTTATTAGCTTATTATATATTATAGTCAACCCAATAAGACTGAACTAATATTAAACAAAGGCAAGGTAGGCTAAAATTTTTTGAGAGTAGAAATAGCTTATAAAATTTGGACTGGGCTACAGCCCACTTGAGCCTGTGCATAGTACCGTCCTTGGTTACATGCATCATAGATCTAAATATCATCAATTCAAGAATCACTAAGCATTTATTTCGTTCTTGTGTGATGCCAAGGTTTCGTTATTGTCGTTGTTCCCATTTCTGAAACATCTATGTACTCTATAGGAAGGGGATAACATTGTTGATTAAATTGAAGTAAAATATGTTCGAAGACCTTTCTTGCTTGGCATTTTTGAGATACACACACCCAAGCAAAAAGTTCAAATGATGCCTAATTTACGAGTGATGATAAACCTGTTTTGCAAGGGTGGTCTTTCCCGAGGCTCGATAATATAGGGATTAGATTTTTTATGTTCCTTTTGTTTCTCAAAAGAAGTGGCACCTCCAATCTCCCATATTTCCCTTATTATGTTATAACTTTGTAAACTCGACCTCAACTTAAAAAGTTTGGCAATAATGTTCTCAATCTCTGACTTGATCTTGTGAAGTCCAGTTCGCTCATTGAAGATGTCAGCTGACCTTTTCAGCAAACTTCTTTCCCTCTTGGAAGTCACTTTCAAGGCAAAAGATTGAAAGAAATTCTCCAAATATCATAAGCAACAGCGCTAATAATTCTAATCCAAAGGTGTACAGTACTACTTCATCATCATCTCATTTTTTGGTATCTGCATCTTTCAGGTAAGCATGCATCAAGAGTAGCTCGATATATGCATTCTCAATTTGTTCCATGACTCCACCGAACAACTTCACTTCTTGAACTAGAAAGTCTTTGAGCTCTCGAATTACAACTGAAACCTCCACCCCAGCCATATTAATGACCTTCGCCAAATCATAAAAAAAACCAACTTTTTTCTTTTTCTTTTTCTTCTGTTTTACTGCACTACTAGAAAACCTCTATATGTCACTGATATACCCATGGCTTATGCTAATGTGAGCCAGAGACCCACTCATGGCCAGAGTATTGGCCATTGATTATGTTTACACCATAATCAACCGAGCATATCCAGTCTCAAAACAACTAGCACCAAGGCAGAGACGCCTTCTCTCATGCCGAAGGAAGACACTCTTCTGAGGTGTCAAGCACCTGCCGAAACTCCCGACTGTCAAAGCTCACAAACTGCTAAACCTAATTCTCATGACACGTGTCACCGCCGCGGCGACTTGCACAAAGTCCCATATCAGAAATCTATACCAACCTCCCACTTTCACTTCCCTATAAAAAGGGAACAGTACCCTAGTAAGAGGGGTAACTACTTTTCTGCCTTTTACTATTACTCTGCAAAAGTTACCATTCTTAGCTGACTTAAGCATCGGAGAGCCTTCGGCCGGCACCACACCGGTGCCCGAAGCTTAATGACTGCTTCCCTTATTTTTGTCTTCTGCAGGCTAGCATTTATTGAAGGCCCAGACCCTTTCCCTGCTGAAGACAAACTCTTTTTTCTCTAAGTTGACCCTCTCCGAAAAAGAGCATCAACAGATTACATAATAATGGTCCAAGCATAGTATTGCCATTGATATTGGCCCACGACAACTAGGGTCTGTGGCCAATGGAAGGTTGGGTCCCACCATATTATTAGCTCTTCCTGCAGCATATTGAAAGTATAAAAATAATATGACAAACTACAGTAAACCCCCCAACCGAGGGTTATTTACGAGTTCATATCCGATTTTGAGGACATTTACCAGTGCATACTTAACATCATGAAAACTCTATAATTTGCCCCCTCCATTAGCCAAATTGTTAGTGAGTCTGTTAAATGCTAACGTGTCAAAAATATAACCCTTTTATGACATGGACTTCTAAACTATGTGGACCAAAAATTAATAAAACATTTATTTTACTGTTTAAATTGTTTTAAAAAATTAAACATATTAAATTAAAACACAACCAAAAAAAAATTTAAAACCCTACCCAATTCTCTCTCTCTCCCGATTTCCTCTCTCTTCCTCCTTCCTCCCAATTTCTTCAACCCCAGATTTCTTCCCCCCACCACCCGGATTTCTCCTGGTTCCTAAATCCTAATCTTATCTCCTCTCTTCCTGTGATAAGAACCAAGAAGCTCGAAGCTCTTCTTTTTACAGCCTTCCATTGTTTGCTTCTTCCACCCAATTAAGCCAAAAAGTTCAAACTAAATCAATACTTTATGTGAGCAAGAAGCAGAATCTGGACTGGAAGTAGCAACTACCTTCAAAATTGACACTACCTACCGTTAATGTCCCTCAATCTAACGGCTCAAAGACCCTCCAAAGTTAATACCCAAATCACAATCTTGATCTTCCCTCTATTTCCATTTCCGCTGTTCACCTATTCACTCTTCAACAGTGGCATTCAATTGATTTCCAAGGCAAAGTTTTGAACTTTCTGGCATTTTTAGCAGTTTTTTCGATTGGGTCGGCGTGAAAATTTTCTAGCCATGTTTGGATAGTGAGAAAATCATAGGATGCCTATCTCAACTCGATCTCAAATCAACCAAGGGCAAAATGAACCAAACCCTTTGGAGAGTAGCAAACCCAGGTCTGATCAAGAACAAAACCATGCGAATCTTCTACTGAGAAACCCCCACCATGGCTTAAAAGAAAAGATAAAAGCTTTAACTCAGCTCTATGAGAAGCAAAGGCAAGCCTCGGCAGCTCTCAGGAACCAGTCTTCAAAAACCGATCAGAAGCTGCATCTCACAACTCACCCGAGCGTCGAGCTTGATCAGGAGCGGTACCTCGATTTGCCGACTGGTTTCTGGGTTCAGAGAGAGAGATGTTTTAAAATAATTTAAACAGTAAAATAAATTTTTTATTAATTTTTATCCATGTGGAAGTCCATGTCATAAATAAAAGGGTTCCACTTTTGACACGTCAGTATTTAACAAACTCACTAACATTTTGGCTAACAGAGGGAGCAAATTGTAGGGTTTCCGTGATGTCATGTACTGGTAAATGTCCCTAAAATCAAGTATGAACTCGTAAATGACCCTATAGATTGGAGAATTTACTGTAGTTTGTCCAAAATAATAATTTTACATGGCACATATTTTAACAAATACTTTAATTAGTAATTAACTTTTAATTAGAATTTATTTAGTGAATAAAAAGTACCAAAGAACTAGGTTGAAGATTTCACAAATTCGAATCCCCTCGGCCTCATTGGATAAAAAGTACCCCCAAAAACTTCAGCACTATACTCTTGGTTGCTTTTGCATTAGTGTTAGAAGTTCTATGGTAAACTAAAGATAGGAAACCCCTTGACACTTGGAATTACGACCGCAACACAACTGATCTCCTAGTACCAGAGGACTTAGTCTTGCTCGAATTCCTAGTCGGTACAAGGACTTGGATCTCCTATGGTGCATTAGAAAACCAGGTATATCTATTAACAAAACATGATTTCCTTAATTAACATGGTAAAGTGAGTCTGGGAGCTTTCATTATATATAAGAGCAGTCAGTAGTCACTCAATTAATTCTATTGCCTTTCCCTTCCTTCTCTTCCAAGTAATTCAAACTCTCTCTAGCCCTAATTGAAACCCTCCTTCTTCACGTAGTCGAAGAGAGGTAGAGATCATCACCATGAACCCTGCAAGTCTTGTCCTGCAGAAAATCAGGTTGGTCGTCAAGAAATTAGGCAAAGTCCGCTCCTTCAAGAATCCATACAAAAAGCTGGTCCATGTTGACTCCGACTCTAAGACCTACGAGGAGCACGAGCATGGAGCAGTTCATCAAACGTTATGTACTTTTTTACGTGGGGATGAAGAAAGAGTTGTATTGGGTTCCTTTGGAGTATCTCTCTTGTCCAGTTTTGCAAGAACTGATGCTGGCATATGTGTTTGATGCAGGGCCTATTTGGCTTTATTCATGTAAACCCGACTACTTTGATAGGGTTCTAAAGATCGCCGAGAAACATCAACGTTTTGTAAAATTATTCGATGTGTAAAAACATAATACAATTTCAATTTATACTTCTATTTTTTCCAAACTTTAAGCAAATTCAAGTAAGCTGATGGACTTGCAGATTATTTCTAGCATCTGTACTATATCAAATTTGGTATCTTCATCTCGAATCATAGAAAGCTAAGTACAATATATCATATGCAACAGTCTTACAATAAATTGGAAAAAGAAGTACTAGTGTATTTATTAAACTTTTGTCAAATTACCATAATAACTAACTAAATCTAAAATTGCTGATATTATTTCAGACATCAATTTTAACAATAGAAAATTTATAAATTAGTACGAAACAATCATTCGTTTTCTTCACCTAATATTTGGCTTTAGGAAGGGTTATGGGCTCAAATCAAAGCTCGGCACCCAAACTTGCAGTTTACTCAATTTGCCCATGTGTGTACGTGGCTCTAATTCTCCTTCAACTGCCTCCGTTAATTGGTCTACATCATCTTTGAGGATTTGATGATGATGGAGATCGCCCAGGAGTATGAAATGGACTGCTTTGATCTTGATTATTTATTTTTCCATTCTTTCCTCATGATTTCTGTACTCAAGATGAGATAAGTTATTGTTTCTTGACCACCACAAAAAAGAAGATAAGTTATTGTTTACATAAAAATTAAACTCATAAGATAAGTCCGACCTTTGTACTTTCTTTTCCTATAATTTACAAAACCAGGTATAGCTATTGGCAAACATATATAATTAATTTCCCTAATTAATTAACGTGGTTAAGTGGCAATAAACCTTTTTTAGTACAAGTAATAGTGTCTAAACAAGAGGGGAGGGGAATTTCTCACAAACACACATACAAATGATGTCATGAGGGTTCAAATATAAGACCTCTTGTTTGCAAATTAAGACTCTTTTTCACTAAGCTAGACCTGTTGATGGGCAGTTATAAACTTAAAACTTAAGCAGTTTCCAATACCAATCTTATTTTTCGATTGGACTGATTGGAACCGCCACCACTATCACTTTCACTATAAATAAGTAGCCAATAGATAACATCTATTATTCGTACACTCACCTAATTCTATTGCCTTTTGCCTTCCTTCTCTTCCAAGTAAGTTTAACTCTCTCTTGCCCTACTAGTTTCTAATTAGAAACCCTCGTTCCCTACTTGATTCTAGTTAGAAACCCTAGCTTCTAATTGGAAACCTGCCTTCTTCTTCACGCAGTCTAAAGATCATCATCACCATGAGCCCTGCTGCAAGTCTTGTCCAGCAGAAATCAGGCTGTTCGTCAAAAAATTAGGCAAAGGTTTCCATTCCAAGAAAGCATACAAAAAGTTGGAGCATGCCTGTGAGAGCTCCAAGAATAAGCATAAGGATGGAGATCAAGTTCAAGTTCCAGAAGGTTATGTGGCTGTGTACGTGGGGGAGGAGCGAAGAAAGTATAAAAGTTTCTTTGAAGTGTCTCTCTTGTCCAGCTTTCCAAGAACTGATCATCGAGTCGATGTCAGATGTGTTGGATGTCAAGATTGAAGGGCCTATTATGCTTTCATCATGCCCAACCGATCGCTTTGATGTGTTGATTAGATTGCATTCGTGGGATATTGCATGCATGGAAGTTTAGTTCTTGTTTCATATGGATTGAAGTCTTTAACTTCCCGGAAGTCATATGTTTGGTTTGAGAATTGTAAATCTCATTATTTTTCAATGGATGGTTGTTTTTATTCTTTGTTGATACACAACCTTTTGTAATTTCAGAAAAATTTGAAGTAGTGCGCAATTTTAATTTATACATCTTTCTCACTATCTCGTAAAATAACCCATTTGCATAACAACCCTAACAAATACCTTTTTTCTCTTTTGAACTTTAAACGAAGGCAATTAGGATCTAGACTAGTAACCCTAACAAATACATAGTAAAGGCCATCCATTACAAGGAATCACACCTACTTCTTGAGGATTTGTTGATGATGGAGATTGCCAAGGATTATGATTTACAAAAAAATTGTAAGTTATTGTTTCTTGACCAAAAAAACTATTATGTTTTTTTCAAATTAGAAATTCAGATTACATTTTACTTTTTTGTTTTTTTTTCCCCAAAAGAAACGATGATATATTGATAAAATCAGGGATTACATCTGATCTTCAACAAAAAATCAGAGATGGACTTATTATTTACAAAAAATTTGAACTCATAATAAGATAAGTCTCTCTCTCTCTCTCTCTCTCTCTCTCTCTCTCTCTTCTCCACCTATTTCAGTTTAAATCGTTGGAGACATCTCCTTTTTTTCAATCAATGGCTGATAATGAAAATAATTTAATATTTATTAGATGAGAAAGAAAATAACGTCAATTGAACTCGATAATAATGAAAATAACATGAGAATAACCCAAATTCTAGTTGTTATACTAGTATCGGAAGAAGAAAAAAAGAGTTAGCAGACATGGGTTTAGCCAAGTTGGCTAGAGCTATATGCTCCCCACTCTACAATCGATTTCGAATCTCTCTCCCCGTAATTTATATTAGATTAAAGTAGAATATGGCTTTTATAAAAAATAAAAAAATTAACATAAAAGTAAATTTTTGGTATACAAAATCATGTTTTTATTGATGTTGGGTTATTTGTGATAGGGGCCTTCGCATGTTCAACCTAGTTCTTTGAGGATTTGCTGATGATAGAGATCGCCAAGGAGTAGGATTACATTTCATGTGGGTCTGCATCTTTGTCTATTTTTTCATTATTTCCTTTCATTTCTGTACTCAAGATAAGTTTTTTTTTTCCTTTTTTTGAAAAGATATTGATAAGGGATTACATCTGATCTTCAACAAAAACATCAGATAAGTCTGCCCTTTTTCTCTCTCTCTCTCTCTCTCTCTCTTTCCCTGTCCTAACCTATTTTTCAGTGTAAATCATTGGATACATCTCCTCTTTTTTTTCAATCAATGGCTGATAAACATTATTCAAGCACTAATACAAAACCAGGTACGTAGCTATTGGAAAACATATATAATTTCCTTAATTAACGTGGTTAAGTGGGCAGAAGATTATAAACTTAAAACTTGAGCAACACGCCAAGTTTCCAAATACGAATCTCATTTTTTGATTGGACTAATTGGAACCGCCACCACAATCACTTTCACTATAAATAAGTAGCCAGTAACATCTATTATTCTTACACTCACTTAATTCTATTGCCTTTTGCCTTCCTTCTCTTCCAAGTAATTTTATCTCTCTCTTGCCCTACTAGCTTCCAATTAGAAACCCTCGTTCCCTATTAGCTTCTAGTTAGAAACCCTCGTTCCCTACTAGCTTCTAATTGGAAACTTGCCTTCTTCACGCAGTCTAAAGATCATCATCACCATGAGCCCTGCTGCAAGTCTTGTCCAGCAGAAAATCAGGCTGTTCGTCAAAAAATTAGGCAAAGGTTTCCATTCCAAGAAAGCATACAAAAAGTTGGAGCATGCCTCTGAGAGCTCCAAGAATAAGCATAAGCATGGAGATCAAGTTCAAGTTCCAGAAGGTTTTGTGACTGTGTACGTGGGGGAAGAGCGAAGAAAGTATAAAGTTTCTTTGAAGTGTCTCTCTTGTCCAGCTTTCCAAGAACTGATCATCGAGTCGTTGCCGGATGTGTTGGATGTCAAGATTGAAGGGCCTATTATGCTTTCATCATGCCCAACCGAACGCTTTGATGTGTTGATTAGATTGCATGCATGGAACATTGCATGCATGGAAGTTTAGTTCTTGTTTCACATGGATTTGAAGTTTTAACTTCCTGGAAGTCAAAAGTTTGAGAATTGTAAATCTTATTATTTTTCAATGGACGGTTGTTTTTCTTCTTTGTTGATACAAGCTTTTGTAATTGCAGAAAAACGTAGTGAACATGGAATGTATTTTATTCCATGTACATGTAAAACATGAAGCATTCTATGTAAACATGATGCATTTTATGTGCAATTTTAATTTGTGTACTTCCTCAGTTCCTCATAAAATAACCCGTTAACATAGTCACGTTAAAAAATAAAAATAAAAATTTAAGCCTTTTTCCTTTCTGTAACTTTAAGCAAAGACGATTAGGTAATCCTAACAATTGCAAATAATCAGTAAAGGCGATCCATTACAAGGAATCTCAAATTCAGTATGAAGAAAAAGAAATTCAAATTCGGTATCTTCAAAGGAATAAATTGAGCACATGGCTCTTGAGAGACTTCCATTTTTGCTGGACATGAGGTTTTGCTACACCCAATAAGGCTAGAAGAATTATCGAAACAAATTCAAACGGAAGAAAAAAAATCTGTTGATAAATGAATTCCAATTTATTGACTATTACTTATCAAATCTTGTTCTATGATATCTGGTTTGATCTTGTAGGTTTCATGATTCAAAGCGTTCTTTGTTTAAATATCTCTTGAAAGATTAATCGGTCAAAAATTGACTATTGATATCTTCATGATTGTTTATCTTTCTCTTGATTATAGTTACATGACTAATTGATTCTGAATTTTGCTTTTTTTTTGGGATAATATTTGAAGGTAACCCGAAGAATGAACCATCTAGATCATGAAACCAACTGTGAAAGAGGTCCAAACTAGTTCTTTCTTTCGCATTAAGTTTCGTACGGGTATGACTTAGAAAATTTTCCTATAAGAAATTGTGTGTGTATTTATGGGTGTGGGTTTTAAGTTGGGATCCGGATCCGCTCTGATTTTCTCTGTGTATCATAACCGTTCATAAATAATAATAATAATAATAATAATAATAATAATAATAAAATTTTAAATTTTAAAAAGTTTTACACGATTTATTTATTTTTTCATACACCTCTTTTTTTTTTCAGAATGATTTTATAAACATGATAGATAGCCTACCGTAGTTAATTTCAAGATGTTTTTATTATTATCCTAGATGAGTATGACCATTATGGGGTGCTAATGGAAGCACTTTTTAACTGTTAGGCGGAGAACAATGACTAATAAAGACTTTTTTTGTTTTTTTTTTTTTTTTTTTTTTTTTTTTTTTGGCTTTTTTTTTTTTTTGAAGGAAGCACTTTTCTGCTTAATTGGAAACCAGAAGTCAATGGCCAAAGTTTTATCTAGAACAAATATATTATACTTGTAACTTGGATTTACAGAGATGGGTCTGTTTTGGATTGCTTTTGCTAATAGCACAAGCATTTTCAAATATCTTTGTTCTGAATTTTCTTTCTTGGTAGCCAGCCTTGAAAGTTCAAGAAAAGTATGGACTTATATTGTGTTTTTCTTTTTGTAAATTCCATGTGAAAACATGAAGTAGTATATTGTGATGAGAGATTTTCTTAACTAATGTAATGTCAAAAACAATATCGGAATTTAGCATTAACCATAACAAGCTCAGTTGAAGATGTCCTAAATTCGAATTCCATCGGCCTCATTAGTTAAAAAATACAAAAATTAATCTTGGTTGCTTTGCTTCATATGAGTGCTGTGGCGTCCTTTAAACCAAAACCCGGAAACATAGAAATAAAATGAATATGAAAATTTCCTACTTTCCTGCATATATGCCAGGTTCTAGTCCATGAAACTCACTCGACCTTCAAGATAAGCAGCTCATATAGATCTCGTCTTTCTATCTCCATTTTGCAACCACAGGACCCGAGATTTTTGTCTCATAAGAGACTCCTCCGCGTCAAGCATTGCATTAAGTTCATATAGTTTTCGAGTTTAATCCATCACTGCTTGCTCATTTCCTTGGTCCTTCGCAAGAATGGTTTCTCGTACAGCTCATCCTTAAAATTGGTAACATCCAGATAACTTTCGAAAGGGGACCATCATGAAGGAACCAGGTGAAGTCTATCGCAACATAAAATTTTACTGAACAGTTTTCCCCATTAAAATGGGGATTTTCTATTATAAGCTAGGTAAGCTCAAGTTCATTAGCAGAGAACACAGTAAGTAAATCAGGCATACTCTTTTACGATTTAAATGATGGGTACCAATACATGACAGAACAATAATCCTGTGATGTGATCCAAACTAAAAGAACTCAAAGTCTAGATATTTACCCCCGGACTTCACGTCTGCCCCAACCATCCTTTTACTGTTGCTTCCGACACCAACAGTGTCAACTGCCCCAAATTTCCCTGGCAGCTCAGCTTCCATTGGTCTTGGTACTTCTGGTGGTGTGCTGCATCGTATCAGAGCCCAGTTCACACCTTCAAAGAAGGGATGCTGCTTGATCTCAGTTGCACCCCTTTTCACCCCAAGCCGGTGTTGTGGCTCTTTCACTAGCAATCCCCGAATTAGATCGCGGCCTGCATAACTAGTTGCTGGTGAATCTGGGAATTTGAGTTGCTGCCCCACCACATTGAACAATGTAGCACGGTTTCCTGAGCCTTTAAAAGGAGTTTTGCCATACAGTAATTCATGCAAGAATATACCAAACGTCCACCAGTCGACTGCACTTCCATGGCCTTCTCCCTTAATAATTTCAGGGGCTAGGTATTCATGGGTTCCAACAAAGGACATAGACCGAGCTTGAGTAGGCTCTGCAACAAGCTCTGGAAGTGCATTGGTGGCAAACCCAGGCTCAGCTCGAGGTTTTCGGTTCTTCTTGCTTTTCTGAGGAAAGAACCTAGGGATAAAACAAGCAGGTTGAATGCACACTGATGAGGGCTCAATACATGCAGGTTGGACACAGAATGCACCACCTGTTCCTCGTTTTGAAGGATCAGAATCAAATGAAGTTCTTATCAGGGTTGGTGAAACAGCGCATCTCAGGGAAAGGTCAAAATCTGAAAGCATTATGTGGCCGTCGTCACGGACAAGCACGTTTTCAGGTTTCAAGTCCCTGTAGACAACTCCAAGCATGTGTAAATACTCTAGTGCCAACAGAACCTCAGCAGCATAGAATCTGCAAGAGCAAAGATAGATGAGTATATCACTCGCCTGCCTACTTTAAGTTAGGACTAGCTTAGTATAGCAGATTGGTAAAGCAGCGGCATCTAATCTTCCACACAAGGAAAACAGAACGAAATTCTCAAACATGAATAATCTATACTGCATTGAATCAGCGCATTATTGAATAACCGCGCAATCTATTTTCCATTTAATCCTGATAGATGAAGTAATTGTTGGTTGTATTTGGAAATGAGGCTTTAAAGAAAGACGCTCCAATGCAGTAACAACCTTTCAAAGGGGACAAAAGGGAAAAATATTCGAATGGATGGTCCAACTTGCAAATCATTGCTCCAAATGTTTCTAGCTTGGATAGCCAAGGTAGTAGAAAAATTATGTAAATTGAAGGCACAAAATTTTTATTATACATTGACAAAAGGTCCAAGCAAGAACAAACAGCGACACTTTCAAAGCTTAATATTTTGATGTGTGTTGCAGTTCCTTGTTCATGGTACATTTTTAATTGTTGATTGATATTTTCATCATTTTTGTGAACACTCAAAAAGGTCTCCAAGCATAAATAGCCCAACTTCCAAAGCCTAATACTTCAATATGTTACTCAGCCTCTTGTTCCCATAACATAGTTTTTATTGTTGACAGGTTGATCAGTTTCATACACAGTATTTGAATTCAAACTCAGAGTAGATGAACTGGATGAATAAAATATAGTGAGTTAATAACATCTAGAACTAGCATGTGACTTTGCACTCTATCATTTCCATAAAGTGGGGAACAAATCCAAACAGTGTGATAGAGATAAGTCACATTGTGAAGTTTTCCAAAACAGACAAAGGCAATAGCAAATGAGTGTGAAGGACCTTAACTGAATATGAAAATGGACTAAAGCAGCATATAGAAGTATCATATTTATCAGAGAATGGACATCCAGCTCCCTCAGTCGAAAGTTTACACTGGCTGTAAGCCCATTATGAAGTTTTTCTAACTAATGAACATATTAGTTGAGTTTGTATTGTATTAGTGTAAAATACAGAAAAGTATTTTCCGAAACCAACATGTCTCAAAGTACGAGAAATATCAAAGAGATGAAACTGTGTCTCTAAATCTAAATGATCTTTTAGAGAAAAAAATCGTATCAGTTTGTCCAGATAAGCATATAAAAAAGGACTTCGTGGATGGCAAACAGAGTGCTCACTTGCTAATTTCTTTTCGCTTAACAATTACCATGTTGGAAAACCTTCAAAAATGCAACATCCTAAATGCAAAAAGATATAGATCAACACAAAGAAAGAAAGATTAACAGTCATTTAGATAGGAGGCTCCCTTCGTCATCAAAATTACTAACAGTCTAATACTTTAGACAGCTGAAAGAATGCATCTGAAATAGAAGGCATACCTCGCAGCATACTCCGAGAAATGTTTTCCAGGTTGCCGTTGCCTCAGAGTGTGCAAATCACCACCTGGACAATATTCCATGACCAAACATGAGAACCTGTCGGTCTCAAAATGTGTGTATAAAGTTGGAAGGAATGGATGGTCCAGCAGTTGCAAAATCTCCCTTTCCGTCTGGGCCCTAGTCAACTTCTTCCTGCTTGCAAGGGATGCCTTGTCCATTACTTTCATTGCAAAATAACAGCGTGTTCCACTCAGTTCTGAAAGATAGACACTACCAATATCACCGCAACCAAGCCGTTTGAGTAATTTAAAATGGCTCATACCCAAAATCCCATCCCGAACTCGAATTGCAAGAATAGCCTTCCATCTAGGGTCATTTCCTTTATGGGGCTTATTGGCACTCCCAGTAATGTTGCTCCAGTTGCTGTCATCACTAAGGCCACTACTATCACTTGCTCGACTAACGCTAGTTTTTGCACTCTCAAGTGAATCCCCTCTAACACTCCCTTTGGTACTTTCACAGTTCCTATCAATGCTAAGCATGCCATCACTTGTGAGTGCATCACTCTTGTATGTACCGGTGCAGCTATTGACAATGCTCATAGCAGTGACAACACCAGTACTATCGATGCTACTAAGAGGACTTACATTGCCACTCGGAGGCAAAGAAGCATCCCAAACACACTCCTTCTCCTCAGAATCTGGAGGGAGTGAATTATCTGTATTTTGTGATGCACGGGGAACCGCAAACGGCGGAGACAATGCACCTAAGTCATTGGGTTCTTCAACCAAGCTTTCTGAAGGGGAAAGGACAATTGGATTTGGTTTCTTAGCAGGAACCCGGAGGGAAAGATCTTCAAGGAAAGGGCCTTTCCTAGATAAGCTCTTCATCAAGCATCCAGCCTCAGACTTATTCTGACCAATAGGTACATACACTTTCATTAAATCCATATCAACAGGTTCTGGAGGGTGACTAACCCCAGAGAAAGAACTAGGGCCCCCTTCATCAAACGAATCTCCACTTCCCTTAAATGTAAGAGAGTCAGACATAAGTTCTTCCTCTTCTGGGAAAGAGATCTTTCCTTTCCTTGTTCTTAGAGGTATTGGCGAGTCTGAATCTTGAGACTCCCGTGCATTAGATCTTACATCTTTTACCATTAGAGAATGCACATTCGATAACTCAGCCATTTGCCTTGCCAATGCAATTTCTTCTCTCACCAAGCCCAAGCGCCCATTGGATAAATGACCTCTGTCTCTTGCAGAAGCAACATCTTCTCTCACCAAACCAGAGCGCACACTTGACATGTGACCCACTACTCTTGTTGATGTCGAACGAGTATATGGTACCTCACCTACGAGGGGCAATTTCCCAGGAAGCACCTTTGATTCTGAAACCCTCTCCATATCCAACAACGGTGTATCTCATAGAAAATCTCCGAATCGAAACAATTCTGCAAAGTAAAGTAAATCAAGATTTAGCTTACAGGATTCTTCACATATATGGTCAGATCTTAGTGCGTAGGTAGTCCACTAAACAGTACTTAATTCTATTCCATCTTAATCAGCAAACAAACAGCACTCCAAGTCTTTGACGGCAGCACTAACAGAAATAATATTAAAAATAATAAAGATTCATTTAAAAAGTAATGCACCCAGATACCACCAACCCACAACAAGGACAAGAAATTGAAATGCCTGGTGTTCATTTTCTTTTTCTACCTAAATATGATGTAAACTAGCACAAATTTGAACAGAAAATAGGAAGAAATTAAAAAGTTGAAATATGAAATGTCTACAGTTGCATAGCCCTTCCCACAATCAGTAACTCAAACCACAAAACCCTTCAATCACGAAACTGCAATTGTCAAAGTTTCTAGAAACCCAACCTGATCAGAGAAAACTAAGAATCAATCAGTGGCTCCTCAAATTCCTAACTTCACTCACAGTCCACTACAATTACGGAAATGGTACATATATAGCATATTAAAACCTAACCAAAGATATAAAAAGCAGAACCCACAAGGTCAAAGAAGCAAAACCTTCATTTCCAAGCCACACCCTTATAAAACCAACATTTTTTCGTTCAAAAGAAAGTAACTGAGCTGAGACAGAGAATGTGGAATCCATAGACAGTGAGAGTAGAGAAAGATCTCGAAACAGCCCCCTCCCCGCAACCAAATTTAAAAGATAAATAAAATAATCAGAGGAAATTCCCAGCAGAAAAAGAACCGAAACGACAACGCACCAGAGCAAAACGAAGCAGAACACGAATTCGTACGGACGATCCCTGTGCACAATAAGAGCTACGAAAATCTAAAGCGTCAGCTTCCCAATTTAGGGTTTTCACAGAGCTCTCTCTCGTACCTCTTTTTTTCTCCGAAAAAATAAAAGCTATAAATGAAATGTCGAGGTTTTTTTTCTTCTTTTTGTTCAATTTTCCAGAGCCACAGCGACCAGAGCTCTCTCTCTCTCTCTAACTTTTCTCTCTCTAGAGCTCTGTCTGTCTCTGTGAAAGACTGAAACCACAAAAGCTTTATTAAGCGATTATGGTGGTTGTAATTACAGGCTTGTTTACAGCTTTTGCTTTTTTGTATGGGCTGCGCGCACTTTATTAGTAAGCTGAGCCTCTGCGAGAGAGAGAGAGAGAGAGAAAGAGAAAGAGAGACTAGATGAGGAGAGAGACAGAGAGAGCTAGAAGGGGACCCACCGGAAGAGGAAAGTGGACCCCAACATGTAGGGCCCGCGCGTGTTCCTGCTTTACGCTACACTTCTTTTCAAAGATGGTGACTCTCTCTCTCTTCTCGCGCCTCGCACTCTGTCTAGTGTGTTACAGAGTCATCAGACTCGTCACTCATCAGCCTCCCCTTTGGGTGTGTGGAAATCAGCAGACGCTTTTTTTGGCGCGTGTGTATCAGGTTTGGACTTTTTTCATTTTAGATAATAATGGTGTTTTCCTTTTCTTTTCTTTTTCTTTTTTCAAATGTGAATTGGGTTAAGATTCGAACTTGATGCAAGAGAGCGGGTTTACTAGTCTGACCAACTGATTTAATATGCATCTAGTGAGTAGTTTAGACTATCCTTTTTCTTTGACAGAACTAAATAATTAGTAAAACTTAACTTAGAGTTAGTCAATAATACTCAACTCAAATTAATTTAGGCTATTACTTATACTAAAAAAACTTAAATTTTAATTTTATAAAAAAGAAGTAACACTCAACTTAGAGCTAGTCAATAATAATAATTTGTTTTTTTCCATTTTATTGATTTGATAATTTGGGAGTGCTGCAGTCATGTCATGATTTCTCTTTTCTTATTGGAATGATTTTCATGTTGTGATGGCTGATGGGTCTGCACAATCCAATCAAAGTTGAAGGATCAAGGATGCAATAATTTCACGGAAAATTAAAATTACATTTTTATCTACAAGTGATATGAGGAATTTGACATATATAATTTGGAGCTAATGAAATTTTCGTTTATAAGAGCAACTCCACCCATTTGCCCTTAGCCATGGCAAGGGGGGGAGCTAGGGCTGCCACTATTCACATGAATAGTGATTGCCCTTGCAAAATCCGAATTTTGTGTTTCCACCCGTTGCCCTTGCTAAGGGCAGTTACTATTCATTTTTTTGTTTTATTCACAACTTTTTTTACCTCAATAATTAATTTGGATAATATTTTCGGATAAGATTTTCGGGTTCCTACGTGTCAATACTATTCATATCTCATAATCGGATAAAATTTTCAATTTCAAATTTCAGATAAATTATATAAAAAAAAGGCTGGTATTTATAGAAAAAAATTCATTAATTTTTGGGTATTTTTTAAAAAATTTTCCGAATTTTTTCCAGTATTTTATTGCAAAAAAATTGGCTGCCGTTGGATTGGAGGAAAAAATCAGATCGGAGAGCCCAGACGACGCCACGTGGCAACAGGAAAAAAAAATCAAATCAACGAGGTACTGTAGCGATACTGTAGCAGATACTGTAGCGCTACAGTAACCCCCCTCGTTTTGGACCTCAGGCAGAAGTTGCCTTCGGGCCAGCCTGGGTTTGGTGGGTCCCACACCTCCCCCGGGCCTGGGCTGTCCGCTGGAACACCTTCCCTTCCCCCCCCCCCGGGCTGGGCTTTACCGCTGGAAAGGCTCTAATCTAGTAAAGGCATGTTATATCACTCTTTTATTGAATGGTGAAGTAATTAAGAAATGAAAATATTTTTACTTATTACTTTAATTCAAGGTGTACTTATACTACTATTCTTAACACGTGTTCATTGGTATAACCATAGTTAACTCTTTATTTTGTATTTATGGAACCATGGTTAGGGGATGACAATGGGTCGAATCGGGGGTGGGCATGTCATTCCCATCCTTATTAAGCTTTTTTCCCTCATTCACATCTTCATACCCATAATATTCATATCAGGGATTCCCTGTCCCCACCTTCGTTGGGGAATGGGTTCCTTGACCCACCCCATTACCGAAAAAAAAAATCAATATAAAACTACTTTGTTAAAAGAAAAAGTATTGACTGGAAGTTAATTAAATATATAAGTAGTGTGTCTTAAGATTCGTATAAATTATATAAATATTTAATATAATAATAGGAAATATAAAACTTAGTTGGCACAATCACTTTAATATCCTATTTATATGTACTATAATATAAATATATATATATTCCAAACGGGGAGGGTTTCGGTCGGGGATTCAATATCATCCCCAACCCTCCCCGAACACCATACCCAAAAATTCCTCATACTCGTCCCTATACCCAGTTTTTTTTCATTCATATCTAACCCATTAGGGTCGAATGCCTGCGAAAACCCTTACCCATGAGTAAAATTGTCATCCCTAGACTCGTATCAAGTGTTGAGAATGACGATGAAAGGATACACTTTGGCTTTAAAGTGGTGAGAAAAATGATCTCATTAAGAAATACCAACTCACTCGATTGGTGGTTTTTTTTCTCAAATTTTTTTTTTAGAGCTTCTGATTTTGAATTCCTCTTTTTTAATAAAATGAATTAAAAAAAAATTTCTTTTTTTTTTTTTTTTTTTTTTTTTTTTTTATCTACCAATAGAGCAAAGGACTCACTAGTATAGTGGTTTAGTGCAATTGCTCCCCCAGGAAAGGTCTTACGTTTGAGTCCTAGCATTCATATAGGCTCCGTTTGGTTTATGGAATGAAATTGAGGGGAAATCATTTCTCATGTCATTCCTCAAGGAATGGGAATTGAAGATTTCTTTCCCACATTTGGTAATGCTGGGAAAGTAACCGGAAAATATCATTTTATTTTCTTTCCCATGTTTGTTTTGAGTAGGAATGGAAAACAAAGTTTGTATAAATTTTCAATTATACCCATATTAAATCAAATAAAAAAATGCATTTAATGATATATTGTAATTCTAAATTGTTAATGGGGATAAAATGGTCATAAAAAATATATATTTAATGTTAGCTCATTTTCCAAGACTTTCCCATGATGAGGGAAAACAAAACCCAAGTTTGGAGGATGGATTCACTTTCCCCCTACTTTCTCATGAGCCAGGCAACGATTTCCCATACCTAGACTTACCAAACATGGGAAAGCAATTGATTTCTCATTCCCAAGTCTCCTTTCCCATGAATCGAACGGGGCCATAATGTGTATGAATTTAGTGTATTATTGCCCTCTCAATAGGAAATGTCTTTAAAAAAAATTACCTATACATATGGGAGTTAAGGAAATTATTATTATCCATCGCTTTGATTGTATTAGGATCCCGAGCCTCAACATTTAGCATTTGTGTATTTACACGCATTTAAGAGAATATTGACCATTAAATTAATATAATGAATTTTAATAAGTCCACATCATCATACTTGTATTAAACTAAAAATAACCATTTGCACCTTATCATATCTATCCAATAACTTTGAAATAAAAAATATAAAAAATAAAATACCCCACCACCCACCACGCAACACCCTACCCCCAGGAACAGCCATGGTTGCCTTTCTCGCTCTGTCTCTCTTTATCTCCCTCGATTTAGGATCACTAACTCTCAACAAGGCCTAAGAAGAGATTTTATGAACTCCATATCTTCTTAACAGAGTACTGCAATTAAATATGCAAATTCATAAATGAAAATTAATTGGCCACAAGTACTGCATATGAAAATCTTATATGTGCCTTCCAACTATAGAACCTAGTAAAAAAGGTGTGTGTGTGAGGAAAAGAGAGTGAGGGATGGCTGCCATGGCTGGCAGTGAGGGTAGGAGGCTAGGTCGGGGAAGATGGGTTTTTATTTTACAAATTTATAAATAAACCCAATCCTAGACATGTATTTATAAAAAAAAACCCAAGCACTATTTAAACATAGAAACACACCCAAAATCAACCTCAAAATCAACAATTGTATATTTTTTGGGTGTGTTTATAAATAGGTTTTGAGTGTGTGTAATGATGGGTTTTGGGTGTGTTTATAAAGTGTTTTGGGTGTTGGGTTTTTTTATAATTTCAGCATCCATTTTGGGTGTTTTAGTGAAACTCCCTTTTTATTTTCCTACGGGGAAGATGGTTGCTACTTGCTGGGATACCTTTTTATTATTATTATTATTTCAGAGTTATTGGATAAATATAAGGTACAAATAATGGTTATTTTTGGTTCAATACAATTATGATGATGTGGACTTTAAAAAGCAAATAATGAGGATATTTTAGGCAATACCAGATCTTTTCATTAAGGAATTTTCATTTATATAGTGCAAGTTAAATTGGAAAATCCGATTCCAATTCAAAATTTTCCAATTTTGGCAAGTCTAAATCAATTCTGTCGTATGAAAGTTCCAAATTCTGAAAATTCCGGAAAAAGTTGGATTGTAATTGGAATGGATATCGAGATTTCAAAATATATTGGGGTTTCAGGCTTAGACTAGATAAAATTACTAATTTCATATTAAACAATAGGGAAATATTTTTGCTCACCACTTTAACCCAATGCGTACCCTCACCACCATTTTTAACACTTGACACGTGTACATTGATATAATCATAGTTAACACTTTGCTTTATATTTATGGAACTATGGTTATGTCAATGGACACATGTCAAATGTTGAGAATGGTGATAAGGTTACACCTTGGTTAAAGTGGTAAGCAAAAATGATCCCTAAACTAAACATAATTTATACAAATTTATAAATAAACACAATCCTAGACATGTATTTATAAAAAAACCAAAGCACTATTTAAACATAGAAACACACCCAAAATTAACAATTGTATATTTTTTGGGTGTGTTTATAAATGGATTTTGAGTGTGTGTAATAATGGGTGGTGTGTTTATAAAGTGTTTTGGGTGTTGGGTTTTTTTTTATAATTTCAGCCCTCATTTTGGGTGTTTTAGTGAAACTCCCTATAATTTAATGACCCAAAAAGACATGGACAAATTATTCCATAAAGGATAACAACATCCAAGTACTAGAATATAAATATTTTTTTTCAAGTGTTCGATATGAGTTTAAATTTTTAGAGAATTTTAATCATTCAAATGGTTGGGCGCATGTTTGAAATTTTGAACTAGTTTCCGAAATTTTCCAAAAAAATCCTAAATATATAAATTCCAAAATTTTCCAAAATTTTTGAAAGTTCCAAGTTTTCTGAATCAAAAGGGATATTTAAATTTTGAATTTTTTTTTGGAATGAAATTGGAATAGAATTTTCAGCCCTAAACCTACTCTAATGTTTACAATCCTACTACTCCTAGCGATCAATTCTAGTAAAACTTTAAGGCTGCGTTTGGTTCATGAGAAATGAGGCTTGGGGATGAGAAATTGTTTTCCCATGTTTGGTAAGTGTAGGTATGAGAAATGGTTGCCTGACACATGAAAAAGTAAGGGGGAAAGTGAAGTCATCCTCCCCCCTTGGGTTTTGTTTCTTTCTCATTGGAAAGTTTGGGAAAATGAGCCAACATTAAATGCACATTTTTCATTACCATTTTGTCTCCATTAACAATTTAGAATTACAATATAGCATTGAATGCGTTCTTTTTTTTATTTGATTTCATATGGCTATAATTGGAAAATTAAACAAACTTTGTTTTACATTCCTATGCGAACTAAACATGTGAAAGGAAATAAAATGGTATTTTCTAGTTACTTTCCTAGCATCACCAAACATGGGAAATGAATCTTCTATTTCTCATCACTTGGGAAAGACATGAGAAATTATTTCCCATCAAATCTTTTCATCGAACTAAACGGACCTAAACAATCTTAACTTCAAAGATTGAAAACCAAAAATTTTAAAAAATGTATGCCTTTGGTGATTGATTTTCTCCCAACATATAAGATGGATTTTTATTTTCCTCTTGGTTTTAAAGATCCATATAATGCCAACAATATTGACCTCATACAAATTCTCCTTTTTTCTTTTGTATATAAACAAAATCTCTTTATATATATATATATATATTCATGTATGATGTGAAAATGATGGTTGGGGGGGGCCTTTGGGCCACTAAGAAGAGTAATGCACCAAAAGAATTAAAAGAAGGAAAGGCATAGGGTCTACCACACCATACGTAGTTTGTTATTTGGAAATTCTGATGAAAGGTATTATTCGTAGAAATAATGCAGCCATGATCAAACTAAAAAGTATACCTACATTATTGATCTATATTCATGTATCATGTGTGTACAAGTTAAATAGAGAAAAGTTTACTTGTTACTATGAAGTAATTTTCTATTTAATATTAATTGATTATCAAGATAAATGTTTTGGCCTCAACTTTTCCACGATGTCAGCTGCATGAATATATCCGTGTAATCACTTGAGCTACAAACCTTTTGCAAATAACAAGTTAATACAATTTTAATACAATTTCTTTTGTTGTGTTGTTATGGTCTTGTTTGTATATATTGTTGATCAATAGTAGTCATTATTAGGAAAAAAAAATTCTTTATGAGAAGTCTTGGGCATTCAATGGGTTTTTGTAAGTGCTAAAAGTACTTTTAACAACATTTGTCAAAAAAAACTTAAAATCCTTTATGGGATAAAAGCATGTGCTTGAAGAAACACTTCCAAGTGTTTCAATAAATACGTGAATTTTCAATTAAAATTTTCACGTGCTTTCAATATAAAACTTTATAAACATAAGTCGTTCCTACAAAAAACAGTCTCAAACGAGTTCGAACATGATATGACGAATAGCAAAATGAAAGCATATGAAGGGAGCGTGGGAAGAAGGATCCCATCTCAGTATCTCACCATAACATTCACACACAAGAAATGAAGCAAGTTTTAACCAATTTAAATTCAAAGCAATTGATAATAAAAATAAACCATATGATGATAAGTTAAGAAGAAGGTTGGAGAAAGAAGAAAACGACGAATGAGGCAGCCTCGGCGTGCATGAAGATGTCGATGGATTCAGAACTAGTGTGTGTGCATGGCGTTTCTTCAAGTCAATAATTGACAAAGGCGTTAAGAAGGGTTTCGGGGTTACGACGACGACTGGGGGAATAATGAAGAGATTGAGAGACCAAGTAGAACCAAGTCAGTGAGTAGTCCGCTTCTGCTCTTCTCTGCTGCTCCTCCCAGTCTGTAAATTTGTAGTCCCCCTTGGAACTGTTTCTTGCCACGCCTTGTTCTCTTAACAGAAAATAAATAAATAAAAATTATTAGGCTTCACTGGGATAGAGGGATTTAAAAGAATTTATTTGAATTGGACGACAAGCCTAAATTTGTTACAAAATTGGAACCGTTAAATTGAGTAACCATATATGTAGCGGGGCGATACATTTGAGTAACTATGTATGTATTGGGTCATTTGAAATTCATTTAGTTTTCTTTTCTTTCTATTGATTATCACTTGACAAAGAAGTATGATACGTAAATTTTTCTTTGAATGTAGGGTTAAAATGCTCTATAATCGAAATTTGTCCAAACTAGAAAAAAGAAAAAGAGATCCAAATAAGAAAATGCAATGATTTCTTTAATTCCAATATTATTTTCTCATTTATGTTGAACAAGATTGAAGACTGTACTTGCCATTTTTTTTTTCTTCTTCTTCTGTTTCTGGTGTTGGCAGCATCAACTTTTGATGTTCTATCTATGCTTTAAGAGGGGGGAGGAGATATTTTCTGTAAAAGATTGAAACTCTTGCTACAGTAATTTTTTGAGTTTGTCGAAACTAGAAGACATTTGCATAGGGCAAGGGTATTATAAGTCATAGTCTATCGTATTTTATCAGTTTATGTCCAACATAGTGGAGTCACACCATCATGTTATGTCACATTCATATGATTCATGAAGAATTCAAGGACTTCATTTCTCTGTTTACTCTTAGTCAAATGAAAAGGACATTTCACACACGCGGAAGAGATAGACATGTCAAGAATTAATGGTTTTCCTTTTCATGCCAAATGATAATATATAAACATATATATATATATATATATATATATATCAGAGAGCTTCCATTGAGGGATCCCTCAAATAAACTTATTTGAGGGACACCTCTTGTAGGCCCCATTCAGGATTGTATTTCACTAATCCAAACCGTCTATTTTGTACATACTCATTTGAGTTATAGAAATTTTAGTATTTTCTTGAAGTATTGTGTTCATTGATTTTGTAAGACACAATTGGATGTTGAAACGGTTTCCGATTTGTCTAATTTTTTGTAAGGATGATCTATGAATGAAGACCTTAAAAATAGATGGTTTGGATCATTGGGAAAAAATTTGTAGGGTACCTTAAAGGGCGTCCCTCAAATAAAATTATTTGAGGGATCCCTTAATAGAAGGGAACTGTATATATATATATATATATATATGTTGGCTCGATTTGTGACTTTTTTGGCAAATTAAGAATTTTTATATTAATTGTAATTGATTTTCCTTTTACTTTTGATTTCCTACCGTAAATAAAATTATGAGTTATTACTCTCCTTAGCCTTTAAGGTTTTATTGTACTATAAATATGACCTCATAAAAGGAGAAGAATATAGAAAATTCCCACAAACAATATTCTGTCATATTTTAACATGGTATCAAAGTGGCGATCTTGAGATTGTTGCTAAACCCTAGCCAACCACACGTTAACGTTGCCATGGGGGATCAAGATCCAATCATCGCCCATGGAGGTAGCACCACCAATTCCTCTACCACCCAGACCTAGAAACTAGAAGAATTGAATACTCAAATGACCCAATTTTTGAAGATCCAAAATCGGGCCCCGACCAAGAACCTTGAGGAATTGGCGACCCAGATGACCCAGTTTTTGAAGATACAGAACCAAGCCTTAACCCCAACCCCGATCTTAGAAGAATTGATGTCAAGAATGACCCAGTTACTGAAAATTACCTCGAATCAAACTTAGACCCAAATCCCGACCCCAATTTAGACCCTGATACTAACCAAGACTCAGATCCCAACCCAGACCCTGAATCAGACTCCGACCTAGATCTCGACTCATATTTTGAATCATATCCTAACCCAGATACCGACCCAAACTATACCGTATGTATCTTCTGTTGCACATATTATGACTTCTGCTGCACATATCTCAGCTGCAAGACTATTTGGCTACTGAATTTGAGATGAAAAATCTAGGTAGACTCAAGTATTTCTTGGGGATTGAGATGGCTCGATCAAAGCAAGACATATTTCTCTCTCAATGAAAATAAGTCTTGGACTTGTTGACAGACACGTGAATGCTAGATTGCAAACCTGTAGACACTCTTATTGTTGAAAATCATCATCTTGGAGAATACCTGGATCAAGTTCCAACTAACAAAGAAAAATTCCAAAGGTAAGTGGGAAGATTGATCTATTTGTCACGTACTCGACCAAACATTGTTTATGTGATAAGCGTAGTTAATTAGTCAATTTATGCATTCTCCAAGTGAAGATCACATAAATGTAGTTCTTCGAATACTTATATATTTGAAGTCTGCACCCGAAAAATGACTTATGTTCTCAAAATATGGTCATATGAATATTGATGGTTATACAAATGTAGATTGGGCATAACATATATAAGATCCACATATGGTTACTTCACATTTATGGAAGGTAATTTAGTGACATGGAAAAGCAAAAAATATAAGGAAATTGCTCGCATAATTAGTATCATATATAACTTCTTGTCATGGAATAAAAAGTGTATTTAAAGAACTTCATGGTACATATGTGCATACAAGTGAGAAAATTACATTTTAATTAAAAATTAATTATGTTTGTACCATATCTGACCCCCCCACTCACGTCTTAACGCATGGCAAAATCTGCACGGCCAGACCAGCTCAGTGAGCCATGCCGAAACTTGTATCGGCATGCTCCACCGATTCACACTGGTCAAATCGGTGGAGTGCCTACAAACTGACAAAAGACACCAACCTTTGGCAGACGATGTCGAGCGACCAGTCAACACATTCGACCGATTATGACAGATCACCTCAGAACTCCCACTAGAACCTGTCAGGGCACGCGTCGATTGCTAAAGACACTCCCACAAGTCCCGCATCGAAACTAAGTACTAAGAGCATCACAAATGCTCTCTATAAATAGAGCTCATTGGCCCAGCTAAGAGATAAGACTATTTTCTTTACTTGACTTGTGCTTTCACTATGTCAATAGAATCGCTCTTAGTCACTAACTTTGGCATCGGAGGACCTTCGGCCGGCACCACACCAGTGTCTTAGACTTCACCTGCCGTTTCTCTCATCAGGCAGAATCCGGCATTACCCCTCATGGGAAGACACCACAGACCGAAGGCTTCTCGGGTCCAAACATTCCACGTCACCTGTAAGTTAGCTTTATTTCTATCTGTTTAGATTTAGCGCCAACAAATTATATATAAGGGAATTCGAACTCGAAATTTCTTTCAATATTGAGAAGATAAGTACCACTAAACTAAGAGTTAGTTGATAATCATGCGTCAAAGGTTTAAATTAAACAATGTTAATTTCTATGATCAAGCAATATCCTTATTTATCTTTTAACATATTCAAGTTTATCATTTATATAACTTCTCCAAACTATCAAATAACAATGGATGTATAGACTAATATTTCTATTTTAGACTGGAAGGATCAACACACACATATATATTTGGTTGTCATTCATCTTTTTGGTGCACTGATATTGATGTGATGAATTATCATTGAAGAAAAGGATCAAATTCATCACAATTTGGCAAGACATAAAAGTGGGGTTGCCATTGTGAATTCAATATTCAACTCTCATCCCTACAAACTTTTCCTAAAGGTTGACCACATGTTAAGAAGACAGACAACCAAGTCTATATCCTAGTTTCTTTTACTCTATATAATATTGGGGTTAGAGTGCAGCATTTTCAGTACTTTCTGCCGAATACGTACGAGGCAAAAATAAAAAAGCATATGAATTCACTGTGGTAAATTCCAAAGTTACTCATCAGTTGTGAAAACTTGAACCCTTGAATCACAGAGAAATATTATATTGTTGCAACCAAATTGAGCGGGCAAGTTGTATTGGATGATGTGGATCATGATTGGCAAAACTTTTGTCGTCGATGGTGACGATCAAATTGGGCAGGCAAGTTGTCATGTGAAGCACCAATCCCATTAAGCGTTTTTTTATTTATAATTATACTTAGTGATTAAAATGATTAGGTTTCAATATTTTACCATTCACATGCTAAAATTTCATACAAACAAAAACACATTAACCCAAAAAGAAGTGTTTTGTAATCTTTTGTGGGCCTTGCATTTGTTCCTTGCTTTTTGAAAAGTTGGCAAATTAGAGGTTTGAAAGTGTGGGTTTTGGGCGTTGGAATTAGGAAAAGGGCTAGGCATTCAAAGTGGGTTCTTTCATGATTCCCATTCCCTCAGTTGGTCTTTAGTGGACTTTTTTTTTTTTTTTTTCTCTCTCTCTCTCTCTCTCTCTCTCTCTCTCTCTCTCTCATTGAGTGTTCTCAGTTGTTACCTTTGAATCCTGCACTAAATAAGGAGCATAGCTGCACATATAGCTTACCTTTTTGTTCTTCTCTATGGAGGAGAGAGAGAGAGGATTGGGATCTGAATGACAAAATATTCAACTAGGTATGTGAACATCTTACTCAATAAAGATGATGTAGAATTCAATTATTCTATTAATTCAAACACAAGAGTAAGAAACTACCAAACTAGAATAGACCTAAGAAAAAGACGAGAGTTGAATTCTGATCGTAACTACAATTCTCCACTCTGATAATAATAAGATCATATGCTTTGAATATTTTAGGCTCCTTAGTTCTAATGGAATTTCTAGACTTTCCTTTGTGGGTTTTGTAGACCCAATTTTAGTATGTATTGACAGAAAAACCAAAAGCATGTTTTTTTCTTTTTTGTTGTTGTTGAACGCCAAAAGCCAAGTTAGGTGGAGTTAGGTCCAAACCTAGGCCTATAGGCCATAGGGCTTGCCCAAAAGGATCCAAACCTAGTTTCAGATCATATGCCGAATATACCATATTCAATGGACCCACATGCCCATTCATGATGTATGTGGGATCATCAAATCCAGACAAAATGGGTCAAACCCGAATGAACACAAGTGGGCATCACTTGCGCTGCACATGACATAGCCTTCCAATTCACGAGAATTACCCTAATAATTTCTGAGGAAGCACGAAAATTAGCCAAAGACCACTCTTCTCACATGAATTAGAAGGCATGAATGAAACATGTAGAACTTGAGTTTATGGTCACTTTTAAAAGAAGTTACAAACCAAAACCCAAGAAAAGCATGAATAGCATACTTGCATATGTTATATATATATATAATTTCTTTCCAAACCCAAATTGAAAAAAAAAGGGTTCCAAAATTAGATAAATGCATACAATGCATAGGAAGAGGATGATGTTAGTCACATTACCCCCACTTGTTATCTCTCTCTTGTTATTCATCATCTTCTTCAATGTTCAAGTAATAAGATCCCCATCAATTCCTTCCTCCAAAACCACCATCTTGCAAACCCAATTCAGCCTCTTGATTGGGATTTTAACTCGTGTCGACAACTACAGTCATCGTCATTTTCTTCGTCTTATCTATGGCATCCAATCCTCTCCCATTGCCAAAATAGACGTCAAGTTCATCTTTTGCAACCTCACCAAACCCGAGCAACGCATATTAATTTCTCTAGAAATTCTTCGATTCAACGACATTATCATCCTCAATTGTACCGAAAACATGAACAACGGCAAAACCTACACCTATTTCTCTTCGCTCCCTCACGTCCTTCCGCACAAATACGACTATGTCATGAAGGCGGACGACGATGTTTTCATTAGGCTCGAGCCACTTGCCTTGTCCCTCAAACCATTGCCTAGGGTGGACTTGTACTACGGATTTGTAATCCCATGTGCTAGCATGAACCCATTTGTGGAGTACATGTCCGGTATGGGATTTTTGTTGTCCTGGGATTTGGTTGAATGGATTGGAGAATCTGACATTCCTAGAAAGGAGATGTTTGGTCCCGAGGATAAGATGGTGGGAAAATGGTTGAAGATGGGAAGAAAGGCAAAGAACAGGTTTTCCAATAAGCCAGCAATGTATGATTATCCAGGAACAAATGGGAAGTGCTCACATGAGCTTATACCAGAAACTGTGGCTGTTCACAGGCTCAAGAGATGGGATCGTTGGTCGCACGTGCTTGAATTTTTCAATGTAACCAAACAAGTACTCTAATTAATTATCGCTACCATCTTTGATTCAACAATTAATTAGGAAATTAGCTAGTTTCTAACTTTGCTAAATAAATTAATTAGTATTGCTGAGGACATTCTTGCCTTGTATCATTCTATTTCCAATCAAGTTCCTTATTGCGTATGAACAAGGGTTAAATTCCATTTTTGAGCCATACCCATAAAGAAAAGTCTTATACAATCATATTAATAAATGGAAAAAAAAATTATTTGTATTTGATACAATACATATTAATAAATGAAAAATATATATTTTTATTCATACAATACATATTAAGAAATGAAAAGGAAAATCATTTTAAAGGTGTTTATCATGGTTCATGTCAAATTCAAATTATTTACTTTATCACTAACTCAATCTGTTTATTATTCGTGTTTATGGGGCATGTCATATTCAAGATCGTGTCAATCAACTATCAACCAAATATGTTAAATTTGTATCAAGTTGAGTCGTGTGAAAAACTTTCAACCCAATGACAACTTAGGAATGACACTCAAACTTTTTGGTGCGTTACTATAAGCAAGTAATTTTTTTTCTAGAACAATAATTCTAGATGGACCACATATTTAGATCATAGTAGTGAATTAATCCTGTAAGTGATGTATTAATTATATGAACTAATCTTACTAACGGTTTGTTTGAAAATGCTTTTCTAGAAAGTGGTTAAAAATTCAAGTTGTTGTCAGAAATACTTTTTGATACAAGTAATATTGGCAGAGGGTGGAATAAAATTTAGGACCTTGAACACAAGAGCAAATGTTCTTAATCATTTGAGCTATAAGTCCGTTGCATCAAAACACTTTTAGTTATTTGAATGCATTTTAAAAACACTTCTAAATAAATCCTAATTGGTGTAACCATATTGAGTATGACGTGATATTACTAATAAGTTGGTGTTGTTGCCCCAACAAGAAGTGGGTAGCAGATCACAAATTAGCAAACTTGAACTTGGTCTTGAAGTTGGTTAATTTAGCACAAGCTATTTGGGCCTCCAGCTCCATTTCACCTTGTCATTCGGGCCGGGTTCGCTCAAAGTACCAACCTACCGACCTGACAAATATAATCCGGAATAAAAAGACGAAAAAAACCCCCAAACCATAACGTCGTTTCCAAAAAGAAAAAGAATAAAAAAAAGCAGCCGACTGATAAAGCCACGTGTAAAATCGTCAATGTCGCCGACTGACTCTCTTCAGACCTCTCTCTCAACTTTCCCTCGTTTTCAAAATTCACTCTGACGTAGACTGAAACTACACCCACCAAACAAACAACAACCTAACCGACACTTTTTGTTTTTCTAAACCCCCCCTCTCCTCTTCCCCCTCCGAATCAGAAAAGTCCATTTCTCGTTCTCGGACTCCGGACCCGAAATCCCTACCCGAAGCCCCGTCCGCCATGTCCGTGGCCTCCGCGAGCCCGGAGAGGATCCAAGCTCCGCAGAGCCCGATCATGGAGCCCTCGCCGTCTAGGCTCTCCACCACCGGACCGGCCTCCGAAGCTGAAGGCTCGTCCTCGCCGGTTCTCTCATACTCTGCCGACACACCCGATCGCAGCGAGACTTGCAATTCTTCTCCCACCGTCGATCCTCAGGTCCTCTTCTTGCATTTAACGCACTTAGCTTATGTACTTGTGTTGTGCTACAGTCTGGAATGTTTGTGATTTTGGCAATACAGGCTTTCAAAATCTGACTTTAAATTCTTCTTTCTTTATTAGTTCGTTTTTACATGCCAATTTAGGAAGAAGAAATGAATGAATTTGCTTTATTTGTAAAGAAAATAAAGAATATAAGATTTGGTTGCTGGAGAAATGATTTTTAGTATAAACTGAGGAAACTTGTGAATATTATTTTGATTTATTTTCTTTAATATTATAGTCTGCAGCATCATTGAAGAGTGAAGAGTATCGCCAGTTGTTTCGTCTTCCACCTGATGAAGTGAGTGATCAAGATTTTGGGTTTTATTCAAAGTGTTTATTTTTCCCTTTTAATACAAATTTTGAGTCTTAACTCTCTCTCTCTCTCTCTCTCTCTCTCTCTCTCTCTATCTACATTTATATATATATATATATATATATGCTCAAAAAAATTACTCAACCGTGAAGAAGGAAATCCTAGCCATTGTTCATGCAGTCATGAAATTCGAAAGTGATCTTTTAAATATAGAATTCCTGATTAGGGTGGATTGTAAGGCTGCCAAAGATATTTTATTTAAAGATGTTAAGTACCTAGCCTCAAATCAAATTTTTGCTAGATGGCAAGGATATATATGGATATCTCCATCTTCATTCTCTCTTTAATTGGTATAGAAGCAGAAAGAATGTTACCACAGCCTTATTCTATCGATATATATCAAATAGGAAGGCAATCATTTCTGCCAACCAAAATTTGAGGAAGCCTTATGCTTATTTACTGATGCACAACTCCTTATAGGTTCAATGCATGACAAAGAGGGCTAGGTTTGATATGGGACAAGTTTATCATTTGAGTATAAACTGATTGGTGTAGATCTGAGAGTAATAATGACCAGACTATAGCAGAAAATTAAGAAGAAAAATAATATCTTTTGAGGCTATTCTAGGATAAGAAAGGTTGGACCTATGATTAGTAAGAAAAAGATTAGTATTTGATTGTATTTAGATGCAGGAAGTTTGCTAAGCTAAACTTAATAGCTTACTGACGTATTGGAAGAATAGTAGTAGATAAAAAGACAAAGAATAACAAAGGAATACCTAGGAACTACACCTAGAGTACTTGCGCATCACACAGAGGAGGACGCATCAAAATCTAACATAGTTGCTCGCATATCAATATCTCTTCCTTTAAACATTGCAGTAAATATACTATGTCATATATATATATAATTATAATTATAAATAACATATTTCTTGACTTGAAAATCACAGTAAGTACCCAGGAATTTGTGAGCAGGCTCTACCTGATTTTAAAAGCACTAAGATCCTTTGTCACTAAGTATCAACTAGATATACACTGTATTCCCACCCTTTTGGGTCAGTTCTTTTTGATCTTCAATTCTTTAGTTTTCCTTGTTAACTTGCTTTTCTGATTCTGTATCACTAAGACAATCCTAATTTAAACTTTTAATTCTGTCTTACTGTCGTCAGAGTTGTTAGCATAATCTTTATTGTATGTTTAGCTACTTAGAAGGGGATTTGTTTTCCAACCACTAACCCACTTTTGGCATTGAAACATCCATCACGTTTCTGAACAATGTTAAAAAGTCAAGAGTCTGTTCACTTTAACAAATGCATTGGTGGAGAAATCAGATGCAGAGTTGAGCAGCATCGTTAGTTTTGGAAAAAATTACCTGTTAAATTTGGTTTAGGAGCCTTATGCCAAAAAAAAAGAGTTAATATATGTCAAAATGATTGTTGAGCTTACACTCCCCAGGTGACTTCATTCTACTGAAGGTTACAAATATATGAACATGATTGGATAATTCTGATGTATCCTGTTTCTTGATGTTGATGACTAATACCATAGAGCATGAGTGGAAATCCACTTTTCCAGTAACCTAGAATGTGAATAGTTAGCTTGGGAGTAGCGTTTGGGCCGTAAGACATTGCAATGAATGATAGGAGTTAAGACGCCTGGTTGTCCCTGGATATCTTCGCTTTATGGTTAAGTTGTAAAGTTGTTATAGAAAAGAAAGCTTGATTGTGGCCTGCAAGAATACACAGATTATAGGCTTCTTGGATGACATTTAGTCCATCTGTATATTGAAGTGTACTCTGTTCAATGTAACACTTCTGGCATATATTATATGTACGATGCAGAGAGGAACATGCCATTACATATTAATTCATATTAGTATAGTTATAAAGATTTCAATGTGATGATGAGTTGAGCAAGATTTGCTTCTCTCTCTCTCTCTCTCTCTCTCTCTCTCACACACACACACACACACACACACACACATGCACAGTCACTCACTCACATACATGTATGCACAGAGTTGACTATAACTTCTATGTTATTTGAGTATATCTTTGACTTTTTTTTTCTTCTGACATTTTCACTTTTCCCTTTTCACTATAGGCCCTCATTGAAGATTTCAACTGTGCATTCCAGGAGAACATACTTATTCAGGTTCAGGTTCATTTGATATGTTTTATAGGTTATTATTTTGAATATAGTTAGCAACACCATTGTACTGCTTCTCATTGTTTGGCAGGTTATGTTTTACCACACTATATTTTGGCTAAAATTTACTGTTATATATTCTTTTTAGCATCTTGATCGAATGGCAATCTTTAATAAATAAAGTTCTGCTTGGTGTTGCTAACTTTAATTTTATGTATTTTGTAGGGTCACATGTACCTGTTTATTCATTATATTTGCTTTTACTCAAATATATTTGGATATGAGACAAAGGTATGGTGTTCAACTTGTCCTAAACTTCTATTTTAATGAATTTTACAATTGTTGCGAACTGAGTGCTATATGTCGTGTATTCCTTTGTTTCATTTTCATAGGACATTAGGCGGACACAGTTCTTTTTCCAATTTTGTTCCTAGGACATTTGTTGAGTGGTTTGTAGTCAGGAAGAACCTGAAAAGGGTGGTTATGCATAGAAATGAATGCAACTGCTTCCCATGAATCCAAATGATTCCATAAATTATTTCAGGAGACTTAAAACTGATTCACTTTCCGTGTAACATTATGTTTTCAATTTTGCTTTAGACTGAAAAAATAGATTATGTACTAAAAGTAAATTCCACTTCAGAAAATAATCCCATTACAAGAAGTCACAAGCGTAAAAAGAGCGAAGACAGCAGGGATCTTCCCTAATGCCATAGAAATTTTTGCCGGAGCCAAGAAGGTAGTGCCAAATCTAATGTTTGTTTTCCATCTTTTTACTTTGTACTGGTGATATCTTGTAAACACCTTGCGTTCAATGCCATTTCAGTATCACCAGTGTCTTACACCACTTATTGATTTGGCAGTACTTCTTTGCATCCTTTCTGTCCCGTGATGAAGCTTTTAGGATCATAAATGATGGATGGGCACAATATGTGGATGGTGGCAAAGCAAATACAGAACAGCAGGTGTTGTAAATTTAATTGTATTACTTAGTGGTGATAAATTTTATTCTGTTTAAATGTATTAATTCATTGATAACTTATGCTTTTACCTCTACAGAATTTCATGAAAGAAGCTTTCATTGTGTTTCCTAATTAGTATGTGCTTAACTCGTTTTTCTTTCTTTTTGTTTTTAAAAAAGGAACCATACATAACGGGACATAATTTTTAATAGTGTAAAGCTTTGAGAATTTGTGAGTGATTCTGTTCATCTCAGTATATATAGTTACAGGAAAATGTGAAGGCTTAATTAATAGTCATAGAATCATAGGAAAGTGTAAAAGCCTGCGCCGATAACTTGTAATTAACAAGTGGCTCTTAACCTTCCCTAACATCTCCCTTTGATGTTCTCATTATTGGGGTGATATTAAGTGTCATAACTCAATGATAGTTTCAGTATGATTTAGTCTAAAAAATGATCAATTTTAATAATAATAATGGTGACAGGTTACTTTCTGTATTATCAAATTTAATTCTGCAATGGTGGTTAGAAAAATGATGAGAACAGAGAAATGGTAGAGGTGAGGAAGAAGTATGGACAACAGATGGAATTTTGAACTTAAAACTTATTTGCAGTTTTTAAAATTTCATTTACAAATCATTGTAAAGGTCTAATAATAGTTACAGAACATTGTGAAAGGCAAGTAAAGAACTAAGCCAAAGTACATTTGACACTGAGCGACAACTAGGGGAGGCTACCTAATCCATAGTTTATGATGTCATTTTTTGTTTCCCCTTCTTAACTTCAACTAGGTATCCATTTACCCAGTGTTCAATTTATGCTTTTATAGTGAACTTGATTTTTAAATATCATATTATTATCTTTGTTTAGTTTTTCCGAAAATTACTCTAATGCTTGATATTATACTCTCCACGCACGAGGACAATGCTGATATAGTGCATACATTAAATCAATTGAAATTCGAAATGACAATACAGATGTAGTCTTGTGTTTTTGATTGTTGTGGTTTTGTCCTTAATGTTGGATTTTAGACTGCTCCTTGATCATGAAGGGATGTCCATAATGTCTAGTACTAGTAGAAATCCAGTCTAGTTGTATAAGGTTTTCCATTCAATTTGGTTTAGCGACCACTGAATTGATTGTATTAACTTATCATCTCTGGTGGCTGAGAGGCCTCGTGAAAGGATGCTTGGTAATTAGTTATTTTCAGATCTGCATCTTATAATTGTTATTGTTGTTGCTGCTGATGGGAGTATAAAATACTTGGTCTATGAATGCGACTTGTAAGTCAAAAAAAGAAAAAAAAAGAATTTCTGTAAGCTTTACTTATTGTTAATTCTTCCCTGTAGTTGCTGTTGTAAGTGCTTTTGTGTTACATGTCAACACCAAAATCCTGTTTACATGAAGATTCTCACCTGTTTCTCTGCTTAATCTTTAAACTTTAGATTTACAGTTTGAAGTGTATGTCTACAAGAGTGTGAATTCTGGTATTTTGAGTTATGGGGATGACTGAATATCTGTTATGTATGGATGTTAGTTATTCTTGATGTTTGTCAGAGACCACGATAGAGTGAACTTCTGTTATGGGTCACTTGTACTTGCAATTGTAGTTTTGAAAGGGTAAAACTAGCTAACTGTGGAGTTTATCATATATGATATCACATTCTCTTTGTTAACTTGAGCTGCATGTAACACGTGTTTGGTTACTCATGAGCTTTACATGTGTGCATGAGACTTCAGCAGTTTGTTAAGTTTGAACAGTTATTTATCTCTATTGCTTGCCAACCATGGTATATTACATTTTATATGTGCTTAACCAAAATATAACATCATCCTTTTCTTTCTCCCACCTTCCTTCTCCTCCACCCTCTTATCTGCTGATTTTTCTTTCAGGACTCAATATCTGAGACCAGCAGCCAAGAGAATGGAGTTGTAATTGAAAGCGTGGAAAGCTCCAAATGCTTAGTTAATGAATTGGATTCCACTGAGAGGTACTTCATGAGAAATATCTTTAACATTTTAGTCTGATATGTGATGTTTTGTGACTGTGACTCAACTATGTTTATTGCACATACATGGATCAGGAATGAGGACGCTCATATTTCACAAGATTCTAAGCCTGCATCCAATGATGGAGATGATTCTGTGTTGACATCACTTCCAGGGCCACAAGATATTGCAGAAGGGGATCTAGAACCATCTCTGAATGGTGACCCTTCATGTTTGAAAGACTCTTTGATCTGGAAGGAGGAAAGTTATGATGCTCCAAATAGTAAGTTCATTCTACAATCTAGGATCATTGCTAATGTTTCTTCATTTGTCAAGGACGAGCTTTGATCAAACTTGGATTCCTGTGTGTGTTATAATCATCTTTGTGCTGCACCATGTACCTGTGGAACACAATCTCCACTTTACCACACACTTTCTAAAAGTAGTATTTGGGGTTAGTTGATCTGTGGATTTATTTCAGATTGACACAATTATACATGGATAAGTCCCTAGGTTTTGGTTTAGGTTCTAAAAGGGTAGGGTTGAAGTTGGTCATGGGTTCAAATCTTTCTAACGCGTGTGTATGTGTGTGTTGCTAGGCGACTAGCTTTTGGTGATTTAATTGATGCTTCTATAATTTTTATTCTTCAAATTTCATTGTTTGAGCAATATTGAATCCATCAATTCCAATTTTTGTCGTGTTAACTGAGCTGGTTATTTATGATATGCAGTTCCAGAATGTTATACAATGGTTGCGGAGTCGCAGTTTCCGGTAGTTTTCTTTTCTTTTTGGAATAATCACATTATATTTATGATTTTTTCAAATTGATTGTTTTTATGTTGAGCAAGTACATTCTTCTCCCTTAAAGTTTGGTATAATACCAGTAAGCTTTCTTGAGTGGAACATAACACTCCATCTGTGTAATGTTTGATGTCTACATGACATTTACCCCTTATGTTACGATGGGTTGATATGATAGATTGATTATATTATACTGAATATACCCTTTTGCCTGATGTATGTCTACATGACAGCATTCATATTATAAACTGTAATTTTAGAATCTAGAGGGGAGGTTTTTGTAATTAGAACAGAGCTTGAGGGAGAGGAATGTAACTTACTCATTTATGCTCTGCGACATGTTTATTTATTTATTTGTTTTGAATAGTGATTCCATTATGGGAAAGTTTGATTTGAATTAACATCCAATCTATGAAGTGCAGATAAAGGTTGAAGATTTCTTTAATTTATTTTTTTCTGATGACGTGTTCACCGAATCATTTCATAGAAGTTGTGGAGATAAAGGTAAATACCTGGAACTTGAGGAATTCCGCTATTTAGTGCATTATTCAGGTTTCTTGATGGTTTTAGAATATAGAGGGAAAAGTCTAATTTTTTTATCTGCTCTTTGCTTGGATGGTTTTATGCCTTTCTCAGAGTTAAAGTGTACTCCATGGCATCTTCATGAAACATTTGGGCATACCCGTGATGTTTCATTTCAGCATCCAATAAAACTTTATTTTGGTATGGCTGCATTTTATGTTTTTGCATTTTTATGTTGTCATTTACTTCATGAATTTATTACACGGGCTTACATGCTTTGTAGGTTGATTCTATTTTATGTTTCACTCGTTTTTGCACTTGAAATAATGTTTTGTGTTGTCATAAAGGTGCAAAATTTGGTAGCTGCCAGGAGCTCCAGAAATTCCGAGTTCACAGAAACAGGTTTCTGATATATTGTTTATTATGCCATTTTAAAATGTTTCTTGAATTGGTTTCCATAAATTGTGATTATTATTGTCAGGAAGGTACGGCAAATTAACTTAGGTACCATGTCAATTTGAGATCGCACACATGCAGATCTGGTTTTTGCTGGCAAATTAACTCATGTATTATCCTTCTGTCTTGTGAACTTTCAACAAGCTATTTTCTTAAACTTCTACTTCTCTTACATCTGTTCTTCAATTCTTCTACCTTATATTTTTGTATGTTTAGCATAAATAATCCAATGAGTGTGTCTGTTATTTTCTTGACACATTAACTTTGACTCTTGCCAGCCATTTAGTTATTGAGACATCACAAGAATCAGCGATGTGCCTTATGCGGATTATTTCCGGGTTGAGGTATAAGCTGCATTTCATCCAATTTCACATTTCCACGTTACGTGTTATATGTCTTAACACGAATTACCTTCATAATTTATTGATTACCTTGTTAAACCTTAGTCTTTTTATATCAAGTCACTTTATTTCTAACCAAAGACTACTTTTATAATACTTAATTCATATTTGGCCATGTCAGGGGCTTTGGGACATTGAGAGAGATCCTGATGGATCAAAGGAATGCTGCAATTTAAAGATTTATGTGAATGTGGCATTTTCAAAGAGAACTGTTTGGAAAGGTGTGCCTTGGACAACACTTGTTTATTTTTTGAATTTATCTTGGTTTGTGTTGGTCAATCATGGATATGAACATCTGACATGAAAAATGATTTGATGAGCACATGGCAAATGTCACAGTTTTCAACAAAAAGTAGACAACAGGCAATGACAGGCATGTGTAGTCCAGATGTAGTAAAATGTCATATGAAGATACAATTTTGTACTTTCTAGCAAAATGGATTATAAATGATAGTGGCAAGTATTGAAGTTCAGTGATAAATGAGCTACTTGCTTTTGGAAGGTTTCAAGAGTATGATTCTGTAGCGTCCAAGCCATGTCTGACAAAATAAATAATTTTAGATTATACATGTACATTTTGTTCACAGGGACATTGTCTCTTGGGGAAGTATTGATGGAGAGCATAACATTGGTTGCACCCCCTAGGCATTTTTGAATAAGTATTTTTTCTCTCTCACTGATTCAGTGTAATGACAATCTATCATTATAGGTTTACATGTAACCCTTTTGATCATGGGACTAAGGGGTTTGGCTCATAGCCCCAAGGCCTCACACACACAACCCTTTCCGGTTCTCTCTGTAATTTTTTTTTGTTTGGGTAGTTCTGTACAAAACAAACTCCTGTGGGTAGTTATCCTATTTTTGTAAGGACCATTATACCCTTTAAAGTTTTGCAGATTACTAATAAAAGGGGTGTTTTTGGGGTTTCAAGCCTGTGTTTACAATCATAAAATTTGAAGTTTGGGGCTGAAATGGATTTATTGATCTGGTCTTTCTTTCAGGAGTTGGATACTGACACAAGTCCTAGATTCTTTGTCCAATAAATAGAAGTTTAAATATGAAGAGTAAAATCAATAAAAAAGGTTTCTTTTCTTAGATATCATGGACAAATTCCAAGTATAGTGTCATGAACATGTTTTAGGCTTGTTTTGGCCTTGAAAGCCTGGTGAGGGTGCTGAACCCTCAGGGGATTTGAGCCCATTGAGGCTCGAGGAATTTGAGTCTTTGCCTTGGTCTGGCTTCAGGGTTTATATGCTTTGCAAGCATTAAAGTTTAAAGCATTTTTTTTTAAATTACAAGATTTAGATTCTGAAAGCGTGCTTGTGTGTTTGCTATACTGTCTAGGATTAAACTTGATCTGATATGAAGTGAGTGTATGTGATCACAGGCAAAATAGTACAGTCTACCATGGAAGAATGTCGAGAAGTTTTTGAAACCTGGATAAACATGGTATCATTTATTTCTTTATGCATCTATGTTGAATTCGGAGTTTGTCAGAGTTACTTAAGATTGTGCACATTAATGTCTCTTTCAGGCACATGAACTGTTGAAGGCGAAGAATCTTGAACGAAAAGGTAGGACTGTTGCAGACACATAATTTTGATCAATGGGGGAGGGAGAATTCAAACTTGGGACCTCTTCCAACATCAGGAAGAGAAGCACCACTGGACCAATATCTAGTTGGTGTATACACATAATTAATTGGGTTTCTGAACAATATTTTATTTGTTGATGTAGATGCTGACGTTACTACAATGTACAATGATTCATGCAACAATCTTCAATATGGTTACCGTGATTAATTCATGTCATTATTTTGATAATCAGAGAGGATTCCTGCGGTTAGCATCATCAGAAATGTGAAGTTCATTCTGAAATTGAAGCAGAGATGGGTGAATCTACAGAAATGTTTTATGAGCCCAGTGAAAATAGTACGGTACAACACATATCTGAATCCATGGATGCAAACCAGCGAGTTGGCAATCTGTTGCAAGGAAATCTGATTGATGCTTCCCCTCTTACATCATGGTTAAGAGAATCTGTGATGAAATTCCAGTCATCTTTGAGAAGTCAAAGCAGCCATCTTCCCTTAATCTTAGTTATTGTTTTTGCCGTGATTTTTATCATGCAGGTATTTAATCTCATCAGATTGGTCAATTATTTATAATTATATGTTGACTTTGTGTCTCTGGAATCTACAATTACGTACCAAATAAATAGTTAGAGAGTATTACATATTTCCTTGGAATTGCTGTCATGTTGGACTGAGTTGCTGCTGTTTGATCTTTGTTTTTCGTTGCACTAATTTGTTTACATGATGTTGCATGATGCATAATGTGACAATCGGTGGGAATTTGCATTGTATCAGCTTTCTTAATCCTTCTTTGCTGTTGGTAATATGTGTTTTGTTTCTTTGATTGCAGTTGAGCATACTCGTGCTACTAGCTAGACCCCAACATATCCATGTGCACTCTCCTGCGGACTACATGAGCAGCTTGGGCAGTGTAGTAGGCGAAAGATCGTCTGAAGTCGCCAATTGGCTGGAGAAGCGAATCCACCACCTTAAAGATGAGATGCACTTTGTTGAGACTCGGCTCGAGAGCATGCGTCATGAGCATGCTCTCTTAAAAGCTCAACTTGAGGACTTTAAGCATCTTAGTAAGCGTAGGTAATATCCAATTGTATATCCTTCTCGTTCTGGTGACGATAAATGAGTTTATTACCCTTTCTTTTTTCTTTTCCTCTGGTTTTTTCATAGAGAAATGTATGTTGTTCAGTCCTGTAAAATCAATAAACTTGTAGAGAAACTCTTGATAGAAATCTATATTCTTCATTCCTCCTGGGATTGGGAATGGCGATCCACGGCGTGTCAAATGTTGTCAATTGATTCAAAGTAGTTAATTAAAGAGCACATAGCTTCGGTTTTTCCTTTTTCTTCACATCGTATGTTTTGTTAGCAGTTTTCAAATTAATAGATGGGGTGGTTATTATCAAAACTTTTAATTGTTCATTGGAAAATCTCGAGTAGGATAAGTTATTATGTAGGCTTTTATTTATTTACATTTTGTTGAAATCATTGGGAGACTACCGGTCCGGTGCTGCCTTTTTCATCCTAATTGGAACAGCCAAAATTTCAATCTGCTCCAGTGGTAGGCAAGCACCCTCTGGAAGGAAGTGCCATTGCAATCAATTTCTGATCACAGCTTCTACCCTTCAATTCTAATTTCTTGTTCTATTTGTAGCATTCAGCGTAAAATTAATATGTAATCTGGGTGGGTGTTCCCAACTCCTCGAGCACATGCTGGGCAAGAGTTCCTTATGAAGCTGTGAAGCTTACCCAAAAAGAATCAATCACGATATGTCCTCGACTTGTATTTCATGTGCTAATACTGGAAAAACCAATAGAAGCTTGAATAGAAAATTCTAGGGGTGGGCGCGGTTCGATTCGGCCTGGTTTTCACCTCAAATCGGAATTGAAATCAACACTATTTATTTGGTCTGGTTCGGTTCACTTTTAATAAAAAAAATATAAAATCAGTCCGGTCTGGTTTGCTCAAAAGTCAGTTTAGTTCCAAGTTTTTCGGGTTTTTTTTTTTTTTTTTTTTTTTTTTTTTTTTTTTTTTTGTTTGGGCTTAAAAATTCACAAATGACCCAATTTCATGCAAAAAGAGAGGTGATTTAGAGTTGTGCTTGGGGAAAGATTAGTTATGGGCTTAGAAATTTTGCATTGGGCTTAAATATTTTATAAAAAAAATTAAAATATACATAGTTAGTCTGGTTTGGCCTGGTCTGATTTTTTCACCATAAGAATCGGAATCAAAGTCGAACCAAATCGATCACCTCTGGTTTTTAGTCAACATGGTTATTTTCAGCTCAATTCGACTCTCTTATGGTTTTCTGGTTTGAATGCCCACCAACAACAAAAAGAAAAGAAAGAAAAAGGAATAGAAAACTTTCAAGCCCGTAAATAAAAACTGAAAACATATTTGTTAACAGATTTCGTTTTCTGTTTTTAAAAAAGTAAAAACTAATTTTTAACATCACCATTATTTTTGGATTGTTTTTATTTTTTTGTCGTCCTTTCTCATTCACTAATTTTACATTACCACACATACATTGCACTCCTGTTACCAAAACTCGGTACTTGGACATGGCCGCTCAACTCTTGTGTTTAGCTGCAAGACCTCCTGATCCAAAATTCGTTGAAAATTCATCATAACTCCACAAAATTCAACAAAAAATACTACAAACTCTTTGTAACATTCACTTTCATTCTACAACATCAAATTCACAATTTAATCCCAATAAAGTTTTCAGTTTTTAAAAAATTAAAATTAAAATGATTAAAACTGGAAATGTGATTGATTCACCATATGGACAGTCTAAAACAAACCTCACGTGCTTAGTGAAATGAAGCCAAGAAAACCTGGTTCGTGCATTTTGTTTTTTGTTTTTAGTTTTTGTCTTCCACATGCATTTTCAGTAGCCATAAGTTTACGTCTATCCTGGTTCACAGAACATGGTAGAATATCATGTGGTGCCCCCCTCCATCTTGCGCATGCCTTTCATGCACCTAGGTTTTTCTATATTATTTTCTCAGTATTTAGTTAATTACCGGGCAATTATGAATAGTTAGGCAGAAGCGAGATCTAGAAGTGGGTTTTGTTTGTGGATATGAATCTTCCCCATTTTATCTACAACAAAACAAATGGATATGATATATTTTCATGGACGTAACCTCAAATTAGACAAATATTTATGTTGTTTTCATCATGGAAATTTGAATGTATAATCCAACGGGCAATACTGTTCAAAAGAACGACGCCTTGGAGTCACAGCAACAAACACATCAGAGAGACCCTACCCTAATCCTATCCGCCTTGCCACTTAGCCTTCTTTAAATTGTGCAAATAAGATCATTGCAAAAGATCCAAAAGCCCTACGTACCCTACCATTTTGATCATGATTGATGGATTTTCTCAGGAATTGTACGATGTGGTGCCAAAATTCAAAACAGACATCATTGTGAGATTTTCGCAGGAATTGCACTCTGGATATTGAAAGAGTGCACATGAAATATACGAGAATGAGCCGAAAAAGCTTGGCCATTCATTATATCATAACTCATAATTGGTGAAGACCACCACCGACCTCTAAAGTTAAAGAGCCAATGGATTTTCTACAAGTTCTCTCTCTCTCTCTCTCTTCTTTTTGGTGTTTTGTGGTTGCTTGTTCTGGTTCACTACAGAATTGCTGATTGGTTGGTACACTACCAAGATTCTGAAATTGATTGGGAAAGTAGGGGCCAAAGGTAAAAGAAAGCTGCTGTATCTTTTTAAGATTTATTCTTAGCCTCTTCATAACAAGGTTTTGATTGGTTTGGAAATGTTCCACATTGTTCTTATTTTTTGTGCAGAGGATATTGAATTTTCTGAAGAAGATAAAGACCCTGATAGTGCAACATCTGAACATTTTTAGTCTCCTGGTTGTTAACGGCCGCTGTCCACATCATTTGTGGAGTTGACTTGTCCTGACTTGAGGTGTTGTCTTTCCCAAAATGATAGCATCATTGTGGATTGGATGCTTCTATTACATACATAAAATGTTTCATTATTCCATTTTCCTTCTTCTTCTTTGTTTTTTTCAAAAAAAATCAAATTTTTTTTAATTTTTTATTTATTCACCCCCATAATCATACAAATATATTAGCATGCTTTGTTCGCTTCTCAACATGAATAAATTCTTAATGGATTATGGAAGCATGTGGGAATGATTATGAGAGGATGAAAGATTTGCTTTAAGGCATGTATGAATTAGGTGCTTGTGAATGTTTTGCACACTCGAGGACAAACCAAACACAGTAAGAGACGTACAAAGATGCTGAAAAAATCTAGAAACTATAGCTCCATATTATAGTTTCTAGAAGCTTTTTTTTTGTTTTTTGCTAGAATAATGGAAAAGCAATGTTGGGTAATCTTGTGTTTTATTGATCCATATTAAATTTGCAAAGATTCCATCTCTATTTATACAGATATTTGAGTCTTTTCCTGAACAGGTATCACACCTATTCGAACCTGTGCATCTTTTGGATTGTACCAATTTATACGAGTCACCTCTTTTCATGTAGGAGAGTGTGACTCAATGTTTGAGAACATGTATCTGAAGTGTTTTCACGCTTATATACATTTCCTAGATACATTTGCATCAAGACACACGATTAGAATGCTCGAAGTCGACCAATCTGACAAGCTGACAGGTCTCTTTTTGCAAATTGCACCACTACTGCAGAGCAAGGGTGACAGGTGCTCCTAACCCGAGTTGGAATTCTTGTTGTTGCTAGGTAGGTGCATGAAAATAAGCACGAATTCATCCCTAATGTGGATATTAATCCTCCAACTACTCACCAAAAACAAAATAGAATTGCTGATCGGTACCAAGATTCTAAAATTTATGGGGGGAAGTAGGGGCCAAAAGTAAGATAAGGCTGCTGCATCTTTTTAAGATTGAACTTGTACAATCGATCTTAGGCTCTTCATAACAAGGTTTTGATTGGTTTGGCATGTTCCACATTGTTCTCTTTTTTTTTGGCAGAGGATTTTAAATTTTCTGAAGAAGATAAAGACCCTGATAGTGCAACATTTGAAATTTTTAGTCTCCTGGATTTTAACGGCGGCTGTCCACATCGTTTGTGGAGTGTGTTTTGCCCAAAATAAGAGGACGTGATTGGATGCTTCTATTTGCATACATAAAATGTTTCTTTATACATTTATAGTAAGGAATTATAAAAATTAATTTTCTTTATTTGATTTTTCTACACCTCATAATCATAAAATAATATGGGACCAATTTTGTTGGCTTCTCAATATGAATAAATTCTTTTTGATGATCATGATAGTGTGGGTTCGTGAAGACCGCTATGGCCTAATTTATCAACACATATGTTAAAAGTGTCACGGTCATGGCTATAGAGTCGTTCTATGGTGAGAGTGCAATATACGGGCCATAGATGTGAACATTCATAGTAGTCACGTGAATTCATATGAATAATACATTCACTTAAGTTTAATGAAATGATCATGTGGCTAATATGAAGGTCCACATAAGAAGTTCATATGTGAAACCCCTCACTATAGAATTTCGCCATGACAATAGCAGGCATGGCACCAACATGTGTAAGTGACATGACCATGGAGCCAAAAGCAAGGGCAGAGCCACCTCAGGCCTGTGGTGGCATGTGCTCCTAACCCATGGTAGTGTATTAATTAAACTGATGAACATAAGTACTCTACCACTTAAACTCAAGTCCTCCATCCGTATAATGTGGATCTTGAACTAAATACTCACAAAATAAAAAACAAAAAAGAATCTATTGATATACACCTTAAGCCCATGTTTGGATAAGGGAAATAAACTTGAGATTTTGACGAAAGTCAGAATTTCTAAATTGACATGAACCAATTCCCGTGTTTGGATAAACAAAACATGGAATTTAGAGGTCATAAATCCCAACTTTAAATTCTATGTAAAAGTCATCATTTCTAAAAGAATAATGCTACTCTTACCACATTCTCATACAACCTTATGTGACAGATGAGGTGGACATCACATCAATTAAACTTTCTTTATTAAAATACACTTCATTGATTTAATTAATATGACATATGATATGGAC